TAATGGTCTCAAGTTGCAGTGCGGGAGGTCTAGGTTGGATATTAGGAAAAACTTTTTCACTAGGAGGGTGGTGAAACACTGGAATGCGTTACCTAGGGAGGTGGTGGAATCTCCTTCCTTAGAAGTTTTTAAGGTCAGGCTTGACAAAGCCCTGGCTGGGATGATTTAATTGGGGATCGGTCCTGCTTTGAGCAGGGGTTGGACTAGATGACCTCCTGAGGTCCCTTCCAACCCTGATGTTCTATGATTCTGTGATTCAAACACAAGATGTTTAGTAGTTCAGCATCTGTGCCAGCAGTAAGCCCTGAGGACTTTAATCCTGTGTTAGGGGAAATCAGCCTAGTTAGCATATGTGACTCCATTTTGGGTTTCCTCTCGGCCATTAACTAGAAGCGAGCACATCACGTACCAAGGGAGGATCCTTCAGGGTGGACAGCTGGACAGTTTCAAGATAAGGGAAACAAAGGAGACAGGAACCAGCCGACATGCCTGAAATAGTTGCTAATTCAGCTTTTTTGCATGGGGAAGGTGGCTGCAGGGGATTGGAAATAGATAAGGAGAAGGCCTGTTTATTGGTTTAGGCCCCCCCACCGAGGCACACAGGCAGGATGTTTTGCCAACAGTATATAATCTTTGTGTAACCTGTAATCGGGGTCCCGTTATGCTCGAGCGTGATACCGCTCTGTTAAGCGGAATAAACCTAGAAACTTTGAGATACTCTGCAGTCTGTCTTTATTTGGTTGCCTCAGCCTAGAAACGAACTGTACGTGTCCTAACTGGAATAATTCGTAACAGTTTTGGCGACCCAGATGGGACTGTAGGCTCGCCCTTGTAAGCGAAGCCGCACTCCTTCCCTCGGACAACTCCAGCCGGCACCGGGTGAGTTCACCTTCGAGAACTCCGAGGAACGGGAGTGTGGGCCGTCGCTTAGGCGATAAGGTGGCACATTAGGCGTTCTTTTGGTAGCCCTAGAATGGGCTCTGGGCAGAGTGTGAGCAGGGGAATCCCTTTGGCTGAGATTCTTGAGAATTGGAAAATATTTCTGGCACCCATGGGTTAGGTAAAAGGAGAGCTGTAATTTTGTGTAAAGTTGAGTGGCCAGCGCTGACTATTCAGACGCCCTTTGGATGGCCACCCGACGGAACTTTTGGACAGGATGAATTAACCTGCCTTAGACAACAACTGGAGGACAAGCATCCAGCTCAAATGGATTATTGGTATGTATGGGATAATTGGGCATACGCCCGAGATAAGGGGCGCCCCTCGACTTTGGGCTCTGGTACCAGATCTAAGGTTTGCATGCCGCTTGCAGGTTCCGCTCCGCCCTATGCTGCTTTTCCTCATCCGTCTCTTCCCCCTCTCCTCCTCCTCCTGTTGCCCCTTTATACCCGTCTCTAACCCTACCCCCTGTTGCGCTTCAAGCGCCCCGGATACAACAGCCCGTTGCGACAGGCACTGACCGTGTCACTATGATCATGGTCCACTGCCCTTTTGGCCCTGGTAACCTGGCAGTCACAGATGCGGAGGTTGTGGGACGGTCCAGAAAGAGTCCTACAGACTATCCGTTCAGTCTTTACGGCATTTAACCCTAACTGGGCAGACATCCAGGCTATTTTGCAAACCCTATTTACCCCCGACGAGAGGTATTCTATTCTAGACGCTAATCGGCGTTGGGTGGGGGACGCTGAGAATCGGACCCCTTGGCCCGAAGCCGATCCAGGTTGGAATCCTAACAACCTCAATGGCCGGGCCAGCCTCTCGGCTGCCCGGGAAGGGCTCCTGGAGAGCATCCATAGGGCGGGTAGTAAGACGGCAAATTGGTCAAAAATTAGCGGCACCGGACATAAAGAAGCATTTAACTAAACATGTTCCCGATTGGCCAGGGAAACCCCTAAGCGAAGTAGTTCGCCTGGCCACTTTCGTGTTTAATGGTAGGGACGAGGAGAAAGCTAAGGAAAAATGTAAGCAAAAGAAGGAGGAAGTAAGGATGTTGGCAGCCGCACTGCAGGTTCCCTTGAGGAATCAGCACTGGCAGGGACACAGGAATACAAGAGGGAGGGGATGCGGACGCGGGACAGGACGGGGAGGAGGAAGGGGTGGGACAAGGAACAGGAACTGTAATTATTGTAAGCAACCGGGGCACTGGAAGAGGCAATGCCCCGTGCTTCCACAAGGGGCTCCTTGGCAGGATCAGCCGGAGATCGGTTCTTCCTTTCCCCATAACGCTCCCCAGGACTTTGCTAATCCCCAGTGACTAGAGGCGGCGATTTTGGGAGCCGTGGGAGAGTTAGAATGGGATCTTGGATTGCAGTCTCAAATTTACTTGAAAATTGGGGAAAAGTTTGTACCCTTTTTGGTGCATACCGGAGCCACCCTTTCCACTTTAACTTTTGTTCCGGGCTCTCTTTCTAATACCAAGGTCTGGGTGCAGGGTATTGAGGGCAACCCATGCCTGGCTCCCCTATCCTGCCCCGTCCCTGTGGAGCTGGGTTCTTTAAAGTTGTCACATAGATTTGTTGTCATGCCAGAAGGCCCCGCTAACCTTCTTGGGTGGGACGTGCTTAGCAAACTGGGAGCCCACATATATTGTGCCCCCAAGGGGCTTCGCATGTCCGTCCCGGACTCGGCGGTTGCTTCTCTTATGGCCTCGATTCCCGATCTCCCCACAGAACTGTCCAGCTGTCCACCCTGAAGGATCCTCCCTTGGTACGTGATGTGCTCGCTTCTAGTTAATGGCCAAGAGGAAACCCAAAATGGAGTCACATATGCTAACTAGGTTGATTTCCCCTAACACCTGGCAGTGAAGATCTCCATCTGACAGCTAGATTTACTGTAGATTATGATTCGTATTATGGTAGTGCATAGAAGGCCCGATTCTGGTACGTGCTGTACAAACACATAGTAGGAGACAGCCTTGCCACAAAGAGCTTACAACCTAAATGGTCAAGGCAGACAAATGGTGAGAGAAGGGGAAGATTAAGAACGTAAGAACAGCCATACTGGGTCAGACCAAAGGTCCATCCAACCCAGTATCCTGTCTGCCGACAGTGGCCAATGCCAGGTGCCCCAGAGGGAGTGAACCTAACAGGTAATGATCAAGTGATCTCTCTCCTGCCATCCATCCCCACCCTCTGACAGACAGAGGCTAGGGCCACCATTCCTTACCCATCCTGGCTAATAGCCATTAATGGACTTAACCTCCATCAATTTATCTAGTTCTCTTTTAAACCCGGTTATAGTCCTAGCCTTCGCAGCCTTCTCAGGCAAGGAGTTCCACAGGTTGACTGTGCACTGTGTGAAAAAGAACTTCCTTTTATTTGTTTTAAACCTGCTACCCATTAATTTCATTTGGTGGCCCCTAGTTCTTATATTATGGGAACAAATAAATAACTTTTCCTTATTCACTTTCTCCACACCACTCATACTTTTATATACCTCTATCATATCCCCCTTAGTCTCTTCTTTTCCAAGCTGAAAAGTCCTAGCGTCTTTAATCTCTCCTCATATGGGACCTGTTCCAAACCCCTAATCATTTTAGTTGCCCTTCTCTGAAACTTTTCTAATGCCAGTATATCTTTTTTGAGTTGAGGAGACCACATCTGTACGCAGTATTCAAGATGTGAGCATACCATGGATTTATATAAAGGCAATAAGATATTCTCCATATTATTCTTTATCCCTTTTTAATGATTCCTTACATCCTGTTCGCTAATGATTCCTAACTATAATAACTAACTATTCCTAATTATGGCTGTTCTCCTGCTGGGAATCTGAGGCACACAGCGATTATGATACACATCTAAGGTCAAACAGGAAGTCTGTGGCAGAGGAAGGAATAGAAATAAGATTTTCTGAGTCCCATTCCTTGCCTTCACCCTAAAACTATCCCTCCTCTCAGCTGATTCACCTGTTGCCACAGCTGAGTCCCAAATCAAGCATATAGAAGTGATGTTGCATACATTGTGACTAACACATGCGGCTGAAAGAGGGTGCTCCTATCCCTACCCCAAGCTGTTAGAGCTGCACCCCAGAAAGTGACTTTCCGTCCGTACAAGAAGTGAAGAAAGCTGTGTATTTTAGTATGAATGCAGAGTCCCATGGTTCAGAGGCAGCAGTGCACTCAATCTCTCGGGGACCTGGGGAGGCGGAAGAGAAGGTAGCTCCCACACACCCCATCACTTTAATAATATTTAGCTTTGATATGATGCCTTGTGGTCAAACATACAGACATTAACCCTCACATAACCTTGTGCAGTGGCTGTAGAGGGAGGGTTGCCAAGGCATGAGTATGCGTGGAGGGTAGTCAAGAAGGGGTTGTGCGATGGAACCCTCCGTGATGTAAAGATTAACTCCTGTCTGCGTTGGTCTCCTTCCTCTTCCTCCAGGAATTGAGCCTGGTCATATCCCTGGCTCCCTGAACATCCCCTTCTTGGATTTCCTCACAGAAGCTGGCTTTGAGAAGACCCCTGAAGTGATCCGCAGCTTATTCCAGGAGAAGAAAGTGGACCTCTCAAAGCCAGTGGTAGCCACATGTGGCTCGGGAGTCACTGCCTGCCATGTGGCCTTGGGGGCGTACCTCTGTGGCAAGCCAGACGTGGCTGTCTACGATGGTGCCTGGGTGGAGTGGTACATGCGGGCTCGGCCTGGAGAGGTCATCTCTGAGGGCAGAGGCAAGACCCTCTGAAGCAATGCTTCTGTCCCTGCGGTGCAGACAGATTGCCTTGGAAGATGGTCTTAGCCTTTCCTGTTTTAAAATCATAGTGGTATTGAGTGAAGGTCTTGGGTGACAAATCTAAACACATGGTTCTAGCCCCTTCCCCCTACTCCCTTCCCCCTTCTTGCCTACAACCCATTTTTCTGGGCATGGAAGATGCCTCTTTACAGCGTCTTATTAGGGGGAGGAAGCACTTGTTATGGGTTGGTGGAATAATTGATTCAGGCTGGACTCATTAGCTGGGATGATCCCTCCTGATTAGACACTGAGTGAGGAAGATGAGTGGAGGAGCAATTTAGATTTCTCCTCGTAGTTGGACTCTGATTTGTTCTCAGCCAGTTCTGCATCCACCATTGTTCCTGGGGAACTTGAAATCCTGTTTTTTTAAAAAAGAAAGTATCTATTTAAAAGGTTACATAATAAAAACATTTAATGAGTTTAAAGGTTTTTCTCCTGAACTGAGCCCAGGACAGTATAGCTGGGGCTTCTCCTTCCTAGATCACAGAGCCATCTTGCTCTGTACCCCTCCACAGGGAGTGTTTAGTTACCACAGCTACATATATCCAGCATACGTCTACAGTGGAGCTGGAGCAGGTGTAAGGTGTGAGCCGGTACGACATCGTGCATCAGCTATGGGAGAGGGACTGAGAGACTTTTTCCATTGGACCATATGAACTGGAACCATAAACTCACTGAACATTAAATCCCACCAAATGGGGGTAGATCCATCCCCATCATCGTATCCACTCATTATACTCCACACCTGAACATAACCATTATATGGACAACATACCCGCATATCTCAGTGTCTGTACTTTGACCGGTTAAACTTTTACTACCAATCGGGGAGATTATGTATTCCTTACGCCACCCATTCCTAAACCGAATTTCGCACCCCTTGATAATCTGTACCTTATTCCCTGATAACCAGAAACTTCTATGCTTAAACTCTGTACCGTTTTCTTTTTACTTCAACATCATCTTAATAAAATTATGAAATCCAGCTCCGACCGACAGACCTGCACCAGCAGTGAAGCTGCGGCAGCGTGAGCAGCCAGCCCGAGGACGTACCTGCAGTTTCAGACTGGATCATGCTTGGGGCTGCTAGGCTGTCATGCAGTTTGTGCGGCTGCAGCTACGCTGCTGTTTTTAGCGTGCTAACTCGATCACAGCTAGCGCAGGTATGTCTATCCAGGTGGCAAATTACACTTCCAGTGTAGACATACCCTTATTCTCTATGAAGAAAGCTGTGCTGATGAAGTGACTGCAGTATTTGTTTAATTCTTGGTAGGTATATTTCAGTTTCCCTGGGAGAGACCTGTAGACCAAATAAGAAAGGGACAGCATACCTCTCTGTTGTTTGTTTCAGGCTGTTAATGTCCTGCAGCCATGCAATTGTGCAACTTTCAGATGCTATGTTCCAATTCAGCATGATACTTACACATGTCTAACGCTAGGAATGAGAGTACTCCCCCTGTAGGCAGTGTTGCTCCCAGGATATTAGCAAGACAAGGTGGGTGAAGTAATAGCTTCTATTGGACCAGCTTCTGTTGGTGAGAGAGACAAACTTACATAGAGCTCTTTTTCAGGTACTTGCACTGACTTGCATGGGACTGTCCGTGTGCTTACAATTAGTTATGTGCTTCAGTACCTTGCTGAGTTGAAGCCCTAGGGAAGAACTACCTGTAATGGCAGTCATTTTCACAAGGCCACCACCTTAAGTCTTGGAGCTGAAAATCTCCCCCAGCAGACATCAGGGGTATTTGATTCAGTGCATTCGGAGAGTTAATCTGCTCTTGGTTACACCTGTACAAGGACAGTGGCTTCAATATATTTGATTAAAGAAAGGTCCCTGTTGATCATAACACCCATTGTCCTAGACAGCCTGAAGAGAGAGGTGGGTGAGGGGGTGTTTGTCTCCTGATCAATTCCCAGGGAGCAGCTGGGATGCATTACATATGGTGGGTTAGGTGTTAACAATTTGCCCTTCCTTCCATGATGACTTCATTCTTGTGGGTGGGCCAGATCCTGACATCTGGGCAACAAACAGAGGCCAGTGCTGACAGAAGAACTCATGCTATGACTAAAGACCTTCCCTGGATCATCTGCAGCTGTAGAAGGAAAGAGATGGATAGGGAGTGGGGCAGAGAAAAGTGGGGAAAGAGATGCAGGCTAAGGAATTGAAGGACGGTGGCTGGAGAAAAAGGAGATAGATGGGGGGGATAAGAGGAAAAAATAGATGACAGACAATAAGGGTTTGGGCCTGAGTCTCCACTCTAACCAAGGTATGCCATATAGAGTTAAGGAGCAGGGGAGCAAAAGTGACTATGCCACCTATAGTTTATATTCTTTGTGCATCCAGGGGCCTGTCTATCTGTCTTCTCTTCTAAATTAGAGGAGACTCAAGGCTGTTCATATTTACACTCAGCAGTGGTGGCCTAGGGACTACTCAGCAGCTGAAAATAGCTAGAGGACAGCATATTCCAGCCACATTACCTCCTACCCCCGGCACACCCCCTTCGCTAGAGAGGAGTGGGGTAGGCTGGCTCTGTTTTCCAGGGAACCCCTTTAGACTTGGTTACTCACCTGTGGGGAAAACTGTTGCCTTTATGCCCCTATATGGCATAAAGGGACTGAATTGTACCAGAGAACTAGCTCCCTAAATGGAATAAAAAAAAGAAAGGGTGTGTGTGTGTGTGTGAGACCCAAGAAAAGACCCAACTGTAAGGTTAATAGACGTGTGCCTACACTTCAGCACTGCACTTTATGGCTATTGCCCTGGCAGGAAAGGGTCAGGTACCTGTTTGGGCGGGTGGCTTTGGGCCAGTGTTAGCCTTTGGGAGGGAAGCTACCCGCGTTTTTCTGCCTGATGTGAATACTGTTTGAAATGTTGGCAAAGGTGGTTGCAGTTAATAAGTCAGATGACCTCTGTTGGGCATGGTAGAAGCATAGTTGAGGGGATAGATAAAGTTTGTGTGTTTCACCTGGGCCAGGGGTCATGTGCAACTTAACTTCCAAAAGGGCACCCTCTCTTCCTTCTCAAAACCTTCCCCCCTCCCCCGCCACAAATGGGGCACTCAGAAGAGACAGAGGTAGGTCTTGTGAATGAGTTAATCCCCTGGATGGGGGTGGGGGCAAGGCCTGGGACTGCATAAACATAGAGACACCCATCCAGGAAAGGGAGGTTTATGCAAGGCAAGTTTGGAGTTGGTGATGGGGTAGCAGCCAAGGGGAAAACTTGCTGACTAGGTGATCATCACTGCAGATAAATTAAAAAAACAACAACAGGGCTTTGATAGTGGACACTGGTCCCCTACATGCATGAGCACCCACATAGTCTCAATGACCAAAATAGTTCGAATCCTTTATGAGTGTCTTGCTGCAATAGCAGAGAAGTGAATGCTATGATAGTTGGACACTCTGCTGGGCAAAAGGAGAACATGAAAGAGATCTGGCTGGTTCAGCATTGGAAGACTGAGCCACACCCAACACATAGGCACAGAGCAGAGAACAGTTTTCTCCTCAACCCAAAGCACCACTGCCTGCAACACCCTGCTCAGAAGGTGTGTAAACTGCAGCTTCCAGAATCCTCTAGCACTGATCACCCCGTGCAGCAGCAGTGGCGGCATAGATAACACTTTTCAGAGGAACAGCCATGTTAGTCTGTATTCGCAAAAAGAAAAGGAGTACTTGTGGCACCTTAGAGACTAACCAATTTATTTGAGCATGAGCTTTCGTGAGCTACAGCTCACTTCAGTGAGCTGTAGCTCACGAAAGCTCATGCTCAAATAAATTGGTTAGTCTCTAAGGTGCCATAGATAACACTGCAGATCCTGCGGCAGGCAGAGTGGGCTATGCAAAACTACAGCTCCCAGGATTCTTTGGTGACCAATCGCAGAGACGATGTAATGTGGTCATATTAACAGGGTTTACATATTATTTCAAAGTAATCTACAGCTATCAACTGAACAGCAGCGACCAGAGAGAGGCCCCAAGGCAAACCCATTATCCTGGCACCCCTGGAATTTGGGGAGTGTTCAGAATGAGGAGCTGGGTTTTGTCCCTTGTGCCCATCGTTAGTAATAACAGACATGCCATTGATACAGAATCGTTCTTCCCCAAAGATCCCATAGCTGCCCACTTTGAGCACCCGTGAAATGCAGCCACCTCTGGGGTGGAGAGCACCAGATAAACTACAGATCCCAGAATCCTCCAGTGCCCAACATCTGCAGTGGCGTCTCCAGCCTGGGAGGGACGGAGAGGGAGAGATGAGGATGGAAGGAGGAGGGGAGGAAACGCAGGCTCCAGAGAGGGTTTCGTTGACCTGGGAGAGCCACCCGCCGCAGCCCGCAAACAGCAGCCGGGCCAAGTGGGTCCGGCTGAACGTCGGGGGCACGGTTTTCCTCACCACCAGGCAGACCCTGTGCCGGGAGCAGAAATCGTTCCTCTGCCGCTTGTGCCAGGGGGAGGAGCTGCAGTCAGACCGGGTAAGCGGCGAGCTGGCGCCTGCTGGCCGCCCCGACCCGCACTGGGGAGGGGGGTGGCTGCGGCTGCCGCGCGCCCAGGGGGCCAGCGCGGAGCCCTGAGCTGGGTGGGATCAAAGCAGAGCGCAGGCCGGGCTGGGAGGAGCTAGCCCCGGCGGGGGAAGGCGGGGTCCTAGTACAGGGTCCAGAGGGAGCGGGATGGACGGCGCGGCGCGCGCGCAGGGGTGATTGGAACGAGACCCCGTCCCTCTCCCCCCCGGGGGACTCACTCCCTGCGTGCCAGCCAGAGCCCCTTCGGGGGGTGGGCCCGTCCCCTCTGTGGAACGGGAGGAGTCTCTGGCTTAACAGTGGGGACCGAACAGGCCCGCCAGCCCGGGGCTGTGTGGCACACAGAGCACCCGTCTCCTCTGCCTCCCCGCGCCACCGGTCTGGGACGCTTTGCACCAGCCCCGCAAGAGGCGCCCTCCTTTCTCCCTCTGTCACACGCCCAGCTCCGTGGGTGGGACTCAGGCCTGACAAGGAGACTTGGCTTTACCATGTAGAGCCACAATAAGTAGCCTCCCGTCAGAGACACAAGGTGGGGGAGGTACGTTTTTTTTATTGCACCAGACAAGCTTCCCAGCTTACACAGAGCGCTCCTCCCAGTACAGGCTGAAGAGGTAGGAGCCCTGCTGAGACCAGAGTCCACATCACGTCTTTTTATTCCAGGATCTCCCTGCTAGCCTTATAGAATCATATTATATATAGGAAAGGCTTGCGGGGTCTGCACCTCAGGGATGAAATACCAAGACCTGGGGCCCCAGCAGGATCCGTTCAGCCCTTTGCTCTTTCAAAGGAGATAAATTGAGAGTACTGTGCAGTTTGCGCTGCATGTGTATTTAGGTTCTGCCTGAATGTTAGAAGTCCCAGGGTACTTTAAATTAGAGATGTTTCAGAGTAACAGCCCTGTTAGTCTGTATTCGCAAACAGAAAAGGAGGACTTGTGGCACCTTAGAGACTAACAAGTTTATTTGAGTATAAGCTTTCGTGAACTACAGCTCACTTCATCGGATGCATTCAGTGGAAAATACAGTAGGGAGATTTATATACATAGAGAACATGAAACAAATTAGAGAATTGATTTAACCCATTGTACTTTCAAACATGCCTCTTCTCCCTACTGTTTTGCAGTGTGATGTGTGTCAGCTGGCTGCAGCCTTCCACCCCAGAGGTGGCTGCTTTTCTGTAGTACTATATGCATGTCGTTTAGGAAGTGCTTTGGGATCCTAAAGTTAGCTCTTATATGCTACTTTTAATATTTAGCTCTCAGATCACTTTACAAAGGTGAGTAGGTATCATTAGTAGATCAGGTCAGGGATTTTTTGATAAAATGGTTTTTCCTTGGAAAATGCTGATTCATCAAAACCAAGCTGTTCCTGGGAAAGGGTCCATTTTTTTTGAATTTCTTGTTTTTCAGGGAAAAGAAACATTTTGAAATTGTTGAAATGTCCCACTTTGACATTTTCAAAATGGAAAATACTGGGTTTGGGATTAAAATTATGTTTTGGTTTGAAATTTTAAGTTATTTTAAGATTAAAAATGTTAAACAAATGACACAGTCAAAGTTGAACTGAAATGTTTTGATCTCTCTGGTTTGAATGATTTTCTTTTTGAATTTTCCATTCACAATTTTTTTTGTTGAGATTTTGACTTTTCATCCCAATTTGGGGTGGAAAAAATTATTGAAATCTCAAAAATTCTCACAAGACTGGAAAACTGTTTCCTGACCAGCACTAATCATTATCCCCATTTTTCACAGGGAAAACAAGGCACAGAAAAATTAAGTGAATTCCCTAAAATCAACAGCCAAAAGGACCCAGGTTTCCTCATCCTCAGTCCTGTGCCCTGTCCACTGGACCAAAGGAGCTATAGAAATGTAAACCAGGATTACTACAGTTATTATTTTATTGTAGTCCATTGTCTAGAGAAGTTAGGATCAGTGGCAAGTTTCCCCCCTGGGTTCTTCCCATCATGGCTTGTCTCTATATTGTTAGGATGAGACTGGTGCGTACCTAATAGACCGGGACCCCACATATTTTGGACCTATCCTGAATTTCCTCCGTCATGGCAAGCTGGTACTGAATAAAGACATGGCTGAGGAGGGTGAGTGTTGAAACCCAGAAAACTCCCTCTTAACACCCAATCCCTCTCTTAGAGGTGGGTTACAGTAGGTGCTGTTAACCCCAGTCTCCTGACCATATCCAATTCTGCTGTCTAAAAAATTCCCCCCAGTGGCGGGCCCCCTCCCCTGTGCTAGGATTTTTGAGACAGCTATCTTTGGAGCCCACATCCCGGGAAACTCTTTGTGTCCCATTTGCCATACAATAAAATGAATGAGAGTTGGGAGAAAAAGCTTGCTGGAATTTCCCCTTATTCCTAGTGATGGTATGATATTATGGTAGGGTGAACTCATGCTGATTCAACCCTGTGCACACTGATTTCCTCACCCGTGCTCCACTACTTGGAGCATGAAGCTTTTGTCACTGGGGCTGGGAAAGGAGTGGCTAGGCCATGGTAGTGGTGGATCTCTGGTAGGTAGGATCTCTGATGAATTAACAAGTAAGAAATGGATGGCCTTCCCTGGTGTTAACCCCACAGGGTTTGAGCCCTAAGTGACTGAGAATGCTTTACAGTATTATTGATTTCCTCCCCAGCATGCCATTTCTCCCAGTGTATGTGAGAGAGGGACTAATGGGGTGGGAGAATGAGAAGCTCTGAGGGAATCTCAGAGTATATCTATACTATGGAGACTATGCCAGCATGACAATGCTGTCAGAGTTTTTCTGTCATTGCAGGAATGCTGTCTCCCCAGACAAAGTTAGCTATGTTGATGGAAATCCACTTCTGTTGACAGAGCTGCGTCTACACTAGGGGTTTTGTCAGCATAGCTATGTCGGTCAGCGGTGTGGTTTTTTCATACCCCTGACTGACGTAGCAATGCCAGGAAACTTTTCAGTGTACCGTAGGCCTACGTGGGATGGTTAGGGGCAACTAAATCTCACCTGCTTGCCCTGTCTATGTACTGATCTCAAGAGAGAACCTGTGTAGTCACTGAATGCTGGTTCCTAGGCATCGTTCTCCCTTGTGGACCCATAAGGTGCCCCGCACCCTCCCTGTTAACAAACATGATCATGTTTGTCTCAGGGGAGCGGACAGATGCAGCTACTGTAGGTTAATGAAGTGAAACACACATCTTTGTTTACCTGCTTTGGGGTAAAGTGCTATTCAGAGATCAGCAACAGGCCCAGGATGGGGACCAGAAGACTAGGCTCAGTACCTACAACAATAACCAGGATTCACTCCCAAGTGGATAGCACTCAGTAACTGAGGGGTCTGGGTTTAATCCCTGCTGAACAGAGCCTACAGGACAGTAACCAGCAGGGCAAGAATGAGCCCTTAAGTAGCTAGGGGCCTAAATTCACTCTAGTTCATAGACACTCTGGGTCAGTAATCAGGGTGCCTGAGTTCAGTGCCCAATAGGTAGAGCCCTGAACCCTCCCTGGGAAAATAACCCGCAAGCCTGGGATCAGGTATTAGTGGGTAGTGTCCTCCTCCTGGAATAACAGCCAGGGTAGGGATATGGATGCACTTCCCAGTAGGGTGAATCCTGGGAACATTAACCAGAGAAGAGTTAGGGTTCTGTCTTCACTTGTAGAGCCCTGACATCGTAACCAGGTTAGACACCCCTGCGCCTCCCTTTGATACAGTAGTAAAAGGGGCCTGAATTCAATCCCCAGGTGTAAGAGCTTCCAGGCAGCAGAGAACTGTTAATGTGGGATGTTGTGGTGTCCCTTCTCCCCAGGGGAGAGAGTTCTTGGTACAGGCATGTGAATTCCTGAAGCAGCCAGATGGGGCTTTCTCTTCAGGAAGCTCCGAGTACTGGGAAATGGGACTAAGAAGGACAGATACTTATTCCCATGTCTTTTGCGCTCTGGGTGTGTCTAGGGGTTCTAGAAGAAGCTGAATTCTATAACATCGGCCCTTTAATCAGAATAATCAAGGACAGACTGGAGGAGAAGAACTACACCATAACACAGGTCTGAGGGGAAATGGAGAGGGGCGGGGTGGATGGAAAGCTAGAAGAGAGGTCAAATAGGGGAGGGACAGTGGGAAAGTGCCGTGGAAAAATAACCCACTGGTGGGTGACTGTTACTGATCCCACTCTGTGCCTATCTGCAGAGGATATGAGTTGTTACAGCCCCCAGCCACAGAGCTTTAGCTCAAGCTGTAGCAGCCAAGGCTTTTAGTTCTGGAGGTTCTTGGTTCAATTCCTGGTGTGTCAGCCCAGCTGGCCCGGTCACATAAATGGGAGTTGTTTGTTGGCACATAAATACGCAGGGATGATTCCACTGATATATGCTGTGTCATGAAATCTTCCACCAGCAGGAAACCTTCATTGTAGTTAAAATAAAATGGAAGTCCCAGAGGTGGCACTGGATGCTGTGCTTTTCTGATCTGGAAGGGTGCGATATCCTGAACCTCCAGACAGGGCATTAGTTGCAGGGGCTATTTCAGTGTGGGAAGGGGATGGTTTGTGGAAGATGCATTGTCTGTGTGCTCCTGCAACTCCAGAAAGAAGCCAGCCTGTTCCTTTTAGTGCACTTTTAGTGCACTATCACTGTGGGAGGCAGGGATATCGGTGGGGAGTCACTGAGGCATTAATGCTGTGGGAGGCGGAGGGGATGTCTATAGTGGGGAAGATCACTAAGGCATGACTCCTCCATCTTTGGCTGTGATTACCTCTTTCAAATCGCTCTTTAATACCCATTTCTTCCAGTAATAATAAGAGTTAAAAATTGTTTATTATTTGCAATACTGTAACACATAGACTCTCACACTGAAATTAGAGCCCTATTGTGCCAGGCACTGTACAAACACAGTCAGAGACAGCCCCTGCCCCCAAAGAGCCTGCAGTTTAAGTAGACAAGACAAAGGGTGGGAGAAAAACAGGCTTATTACCCCCATTTTGCAGATTGGAAACAAACACAGAGAGTGTTTTCCCCCCCAGGGTCACTCAGGAATCCTGCAGCAGAGCTACTACTTGGCTTCACCAGTAATCTCTCCATGGTCTCTTTCCCTGTGCACTGATCCCATGTCTGAACTTGCATTCCTTTTTGTCCTGTCTGCCTTAGTTTGTAAACTCCCTGAAGTAGAGACTGCTTTGCTCTGTGCCTCCACACTCGAGCACAGTGGGCATTTATGGCACTATATCAGAGGTTCTCAAACTTTTGTACTGGTTACTCCTTTCACACAGCAAGCCTCTGAGTGCGACCTCCCCTTGTAAATTAAAAACACTTTTTAAATATATTTAACACCCTTATAAATTCTGGAGGCAAAGCAGGGTTTGGGGTGGAGACTGACAGCTCACGACCCCCCACCTAATAACTTCCTGACCTCCAGTTTGAGAACCCCGGCATTATATCAGTGGCTTTCATTAACAATGATAACAAATGCAAACTTCCTGTAAGAATGAGTGTGGCCTATGCTGGGTGCTGGACCCTTCCCCTCCTCACGGTAGATCCTTTTAATCCATGTGCTCTCCTGCTGCACCTGAGGTGTGATCCTGCAGAAACCTTTGTCCTCTCATACCACCCCTTTTTGGGCAGGGCAATATGAAGTTGGGTTGCGAGGTTACCTTTTTGTAGGCCCCTCATTTTTATAATCCCAGCCAGAGGCGTATCAGCTTTTGTCACAGAATAACATTCAGAATCTTTTGAGGGTATGAAGCCACTTGGCTCAATTTCCTGCCGGAACATCTGCCCCCAAGGCAGAGTTCCTCAGCAACGTGCCTCACTTTCCTCACAGGTGCCTCCGAAGCATGTGTACCGGGTGCTGCAGTGCCAGGAAGAAGAGCTCACTCAGATGGTTTCCACTATGTCAGATGGATGGCGCTTTGAGCAGGTAGAGCAGGATGTGTGGGCTAGAAGAGGAGCTGTGTGCTAGAGAAGAGACAGGGAACATGCTCTAACACCAAGGCACCAGAATACACCACTTCCTCTGTGGTATTGTTTACTCACCAGGTACAATGCCAGTAGAGCCAGTGGTGAGCTGGAGCTGGTTTGCTGGAACCGGTTGTTAAAGTTAGAAGCCCTTTTAGAACCGGTTCTCCCATGAGGGACAACCGGCTCTCCCATGAGGGACAACTGGTTCTAAAAGGGCTTCTAAATTTAACAAGTGGCCAAAAACTGAACTTCCTGCTCAGGCCCCGGGAGGCGGAGGTGAGCTGGGGCGGGGGGCGTGAGGAGGGCCGCCTGCGCTGCAGCAGGTAACCCAGGGGGCGTGCAGAGGAACCGCTCCCCGTCCCAGCTCACCTCCGCCTCCTTGGGCCTGAGCACGAAGCCGCCGCCTGCTTCTCAGCCCTCCCAGGCTTCCTGCCGATCAGCTGATTCGCAGGAAGTGGGAGGGGTGGCGAAGCAGGGCGGCGTGTTCAGGGGGAGGAGGCGGAGTGGAGGTGAGCTGGGGCCAGGCGGGGAGCTGCAGGTGGGTGCTCTGCACCCACCAAATTTTCCCCGTGGGTGCTCCAGCCCCAGAGCACTCACGGAGTCGGTGCCTAAGGTGCCACTTTTGATGTAATCATTGGGGGTGCAGCTGCTCCCCCTGCTTCCCCCCTAGCTTCGCTACCCCACCCCTAGGAGCCAGAGGGACCTGCCGGATGCTTCCTGGGAGCCGCCCCAGGTAAGTACCGCCGGGACTCCCCACCTTGCCCCCCGGCAGGTCCCTCTGGCTCTTAGGGGCGGGGCAGGGTGGGCACCCACTACGGTGGCCAACGATACCATCGTGCCCGGTTCTGAGGGCAGTCCGGGGACAGGGGAGGGGGGTGGATGGGGCAGGAGTCCCGGAGGGGGGCGGGCACGGGCCACAACCCCCTCGTGGGAAGAGGAGGGAACTGGTTGTTAAGATTTTGGCAGCTCATCACTGAGTAGATCTCATTTCTCTGCCACCTCTTCTCTGGGGAGCCTGAAGGAATCTGAGTGAGGTTACAGTTCTTTGTGTTACAGCAGCTCCACCCGCAGGTCTCTGTGTCACAGCCTCTGTTTAGTCCTCAGTCCCTCTGGTTTCTTGATGGGAGTAGCACATCAGTATCTGACTCCATGCTCCCTAAGGGCGTTGTCTATATCCCTGTTCCCACTGAGAAGTGGACGTGTAGCAAAGCGTGTGTGAGATCTTTGACTTTGTTCCTTTTGTGATTTCCAGTTGGTGAATATCGGGTCATCCTATAACTATGGGAATGAGGACCAGACAGAGTTCCTGTGCGTGGTCTCCAAAGAGCTGTACAACTCACCCAATGGTCTGAGCTCTGAGCCTAGCCACAAAGCCAAGGTGAGACCAATCTGCACTTCACCGTCCGTGTTAATGGCTTATCTTCATCACCATAAGAGCCTCTTCTCTGTTTCCTCCCTCCCCCTCAGCGGTGAGCTAACCAGGTGGTGAAATGTCATGGCCTGTCCCTTTGTTCAGAGTCATAAAGTGCTACCTCCTAATGAACAGGACCTTGTGTGTGTGGCAAATCACTATAACAAGGTACCTCTGTCCTTCTTGTGCCTCCCCAGTCTGCCTCCTCATCTCCTACCCACACTGAGTGTGTCACTATCATCAGACCCATCAGTGTGTGAATACCCAGAATGCTTTGCAGTGGGTACCTTTGTTTGCTGACTAGAGCACCATATCCTCTTTCTGGAGAGTGAGGAACGCTTTCTCCACTGAGTTGTGGTGTGTGGAAATGGGAGGCACCCTCCTTACCTTCAGGCCAGAGAGGGAGGTGAGAAACTCCCTTGGGGTATGCTTTCTTGGTAGACACAGAACATGGGAAGGACCAAAATCCATCAGTCCCTGACAACCCTCTGCATTTCTATGTGGGGAGACGTACCTGCCTGATTCCCATGGGCAATCCCCGCTCAGGGTTCCAGAGAGAGCCTGAATTTCTCTGAACCCTAAAGGTCTTCAGGCCGTTCCTCCCTATATCCAAATCTGGCCGCTGCTTTGAGCCCTTGCGCATGAACAAGAATCACCATGGCAGGTCTTGCAAGTGTCTCCGATCTTTCTTCCCTTTGTACTGCACGCTGGGCCGCAGAGCACAGAGGAGGATCCAGAGGAGGAAGAGCAGGAGCAGGAGGAGGAGGAGGCAGAGGAGAAAGGTGCATCAAATCCCTGAGGAAAATGATAATAATAAAAACCCAACCATAAAGCCGTCCGTTCCCGTCTGGTGAGAGTCCACACAGCTAGTGTCAGGGAAGCACTAGGGAAGGGGCTGAGGGAACCACTCCAGGGAGCAGGGGATGCAGTGGGGCTGAGGTCACAGTGGTAGAGGTGGGAGATCTATTACACATGGCTGCTACTTTATATTTAACTTATTGTTTTTTTTATTTTTATTTGCAGCAAATTAATCTACTCGGGATTCTGCTAATTCTTTCTCCTGTCCAGATTCCCTCTCCTGCTCCCTTCCCGCCCATGGGGTTCTTGTCACCTCTCTCCTACTTCCTCCCTTCCACACAGTTCTTTCCCCAAGAATCCCTCCCTCCACTCCCCTCTTCCCTCTCTCTCTCTCCTCGTGCACCTGGTTTCCTGCCTCCCCTCTCACCTTCCACTTCTGGGGTCCTGTGTGCTCCCTGCTCAGGATCCTGTCTCCTCCTGCTCCTCACTCTTCCTCCTCTGCAGGTGTGTTACCTGTCTGCACTCTCAGATATGACTCTGAGCTCTGCATGAGTGACTCTCATCGCCTCCCCTCTTATGGATCTGGCCCTGGTTTGTAGGTCTTTGGTGGGGGCAGGGAGTGGTTGATTCTTTCCTTACTCTGTGCTTTTCTGATTCTTTTTGTGTGTGTCTTACTTTTTAAGCAGGCCTTACAGTTCTGGACTAGAGGCTCTGGTAGCAGAAGGAAGAGTAAAGCTGTGAGACATTGAGAGGGATGGGAACAAGGGCAAGGAAGATAGATGGGGAGCTGGGGAGAATGCTGTATTTCTGCCTGGCATATGTGAACACAGGACTTTTCCCCAGAAGCTACTGTTTAATCCTCCTCTTGATAGATGAAAGAATATTTTGCATGAGGATTTCCATATATTTCCCTGCCTTTAAAAGCAACCTTTGCCAGGTGGGCGTTTCCCAGCAGATTCTGACAGGGTAAGCGTTCTGGGGATGAAAATAGAAACTAGGCAGCTCTGTGTGAAGTGTGCCCCAATTTTTGGCAGAGAGAGAGAGAGAACTTGGGCTCACTGCCCTAGTTGTGTGGTGAAGGGGGTGAGGAGGCCTGAGAAAGGGCCTTGCTTCACTCTTTTTAGGGTGTTTACAGGATTTGTGCTAAATTGGGGGTTCCTGAACCCCTCTTCCCACACCCCTTAGATTAGGGGGAGTCATTGGTTCTCTGGTATTTGCCAGGCTCTCTCCATCCCTCTGTTTAGGGGTCTCTCTGCCCTGAGCTGTGGGGCCTGAGAATTATACTGAGTCAGTATATTTTACTCACATGGATTTTCCTTCCTCTCTCTTTCTCTCCCTCCCTCCTTTTTCATGTCTCTTTCTTTTCTGTTCTCTCATCTCCTGTCACTTTGCTTTTCCTCTTCCTCTCGATTTGTGTTGCTCTCCCTCTCTCCTCCATGCTTGATTTCTCTCTGCCTTTGGTTTTGTTCTTTGTCTCTCTCTCGTTTTCTAGTTGTTACAAGCCAGAGGCCTCAGGATGTGATACCGACGATCAACTCCAGCCTTTTAATTTCCATTTAAAATCTTTATTTTTGTACTGTAGTTTATGGCAGCCCTCTGGGGGAAAGCGTCGCAGCGACTCCACTCCTCACCCTCAACTTGTTGCCTTTGTTTTTAAAGTTCTGTTTTGGAATATCGTTTCTGAAGCTCACACTCGCATCCCCCCTGAGAAAGGCAGATACCCCCGTCTTTGTGTCTGACTTGCTGCAGGGGATGTAATCCACACCCTGCAATCTCCCCAGGCCCACAGGATTTCCCTTCCTTAGGGTCACAGTCAGTGCTTAATTTGTGCCAGGGCTGAGCCCCGGCATCTCTAGGCTTGGCAGTTCATAGCCCCGGCACCTGTGGATTTGCCGCATCAGTTTTGAAAGTAAATCATTGCTTGAGCCCCGGCACCTCTTTCACTCTAAATTAAGCACTGGTCACAGTGACCCCTGCTGGGGAGGACAGAACTCAGCAGCTACACGCTTCCTTCCTACCCCGACCTGCTGACTAGATTCAGGCCTGTGTGTCTGATTCACTGTCAGAGCCACTGTTGGGGAGGGCAGTTGAGCTGTGCTTGTCACCAGGGGGCAAATGGGGAATCCCTGCCTCTCTCCGGATAGCCTCTGTGCTTAGCACAAGGAGTAAAGGGGCAGCCTTGATCCTTTGCTGGGTAATACACACACAGAGGCCCTGCAGGGAGAGGTTTAATTTCAATGGGGGTGAAAGAGGCAGGAGTACGGCATGGCATACCTGGCTTCTGATGTAGCTTCTGACTGTTCTAGGAAGGAGATGCCTGCCAGGGCTTCTGGGCATGGGGTGTTTCTGCGGTGTCTGAGGATGCTGTGTTATAACTCCTGAATAAATGTCACTGTCCATTACTGGCTGTCTCCTCTCCTTTTTGCCAGAGCACTTTGGTGCTTGTGGGAAGGACCCGAGAGCTTGGGTTGAGGCCTCAGATTAACTGACATTAGCACGCATCCACTCAGGGCTAGTCTTCCTTCCCCACCCCTTTGTTCAGGAACAGCAGGTGCGGCAGGATGTGCGTGTGGGTGGAGTCTCTGTACCCAGCACTCTGTCAGCCAGGAGACTTATGGGTCCCAGTGGAATGATGCTGGGCTAAGGAAGCCATTTCCATTGCTCACGCGGCCCAGGATAAAATTCATAAACACGCATGAAACAAAAGTTGCTTGCTGGGTGTAGCTCAGCCTGGAGGCTTGGCCCTGGCCTGGGCTCCTGGTCACCTACTCTGACCCTAATGTACCTAAGTACTGATATTTATTGCATACGCATTGTCTTCCATTCTCAGGGGTGGAAGGGGATGTTCTCCTGGTTCCTGGCTAAAGTGACAGAGACATTCCCACAGTCCCAGGGAGCCTGGCTGGGCCTCCCTTTTCTGCCTGTAGTTCCCCAAGTGTGTATAGCAGGGCTGATGGGGGAACTTCTTTCTGTTGCAGTTCACACCACAGTGATGGGCACTGTATAAGCACCCACACAGATTACAGCTGGTTCATGCTGTCCCCAGGCTGTAGCTGAGAGGGAGGTGTTGGTCTCTTTTTGAGGTTCTCTAATCTGGTCTTATCAAGTTGCTTCGTATGGAATTCTAGGCTGGCAGACACATTCTCAACCCAGAGAGAGTTAAACAGAGAGAAAATTGCAGAGCAAAAAAGTAATTATTTTTATTCCCAATTCCAGACATTGGCCCATAATATTTCTTTATAAATACATAGCCATCACCATCTAAAATACTTTGCTTGCTGCCTTCTCCCCTCACTTGCTAGCAACAGAGAATGGAAGTGAAGGAAGATCTTTTGTGTTAAAGGTATTAAATGAATTCAAGGGAGCGGGTAGGAGGTTGCACAGATGTTATGTACTCAGTGGCCAAGAATTGTGCCTGGAGGGAGTCCAATTGCAGCATAAAATGATGGTGAAATTACAGCACCAAGGCAGTGACATGTACTTGGGGAAAAGTGATGGATCATGTCTTGGAGGCTGTAATAGACAAATAATTGCCCTGTTGAACCTAACTACACCCTCTAGCTAAAGAAAGAAGCAATTATAGAGATGGGAGAGGAGGAGGCGTGGGGGGAGGAGAAGAATGAATGGCAGGGAAGGAGAGAGAGACGGATTGATATCACAGTTACTGGAATCTCGTTTCTATCTACATCAATCAGATTTTCTTGCAGCAAATGTTCCAGTGTTGGGACTGGGGATGAATCATGTAGTTCATGTAAAGTTAGTCTCCCCCATGCTCCTGTCCAGAAAGCATCTGCTCAGGGCCCCCATCTTTCCGTCCTCCCTCCCCTCAATGCACCAGAGACCTTTGTGTGCCTGGCCTTAATACAAGACGGGGCATTTCTTGGAGAGGGTGGAGGGGCTTCCCACTTGTCCTCACATACCCCCAGGGGAAGATTTACTTTCACCCCATCCCAAAACATAATCTCTGTCTTTCTTAACACTCTGGAGACAAGTGATCAATGTCAGGAACAGGTAACAGAGCAGCCTGTGCCTAGTGGGGAAGGCACAGGGGGACATCCCTCAGCTCATTGTCTGTTTCATCCAGCCTAGCACCCTGGTGATCCTGGTGTAGACCCCGTAAGTATCTGGACGTGCGCAACCCAGCCCCCAGCTCACCAGGCCAGCCAGGAACCACCTGCCACTGGGCTCCTTGCAGACAAGGGGACCTCCGGAATCACCCTAGAGGCAGAAGGAAACAAAGAACCATCAGAACACTAAAGTGATGGGGGTGGAGCATGATGAAGAACTAGCACGTACTTTGAGAATACATTTCCTCTACTTCCTCTCATCTTCAGGCTGCAATTCAACCCCTCCATCCCATTACCCAAGGCCTCAGCAGCACCCCCAATGGAGCTAAGTATCTCAGGCAGATGAGTGTAGGACAGAATCAGAAACCCAAGACTTCTAAGAAAAGGTATTGGCCACTAGCACATCCTCGGCCATGTGTCCCCTTCCCCAATAAGTCTCTTGCTTATTCTTCTAGTCAGTGGAAGGGCCTCAGGAGGAAACAGGCTGGAGCAAGTCTAGGGAGGGCTTTGCCAATTGTAAATTTGAACTGGATCCTAAAATTAATGGAGTGCCAGTGGAATTCCCCGGGGATGAAGGGTAATGTAGGAGCAGGCAGAGAGCAGCAGCACCAATCAGCACATGCTGGGGTGGGGTGAGTTATGGGAACAGTCTTCAGGTAGATGATGGGGAAGTTGCTTGGAGTAGGAAAGCAGAGGAGTGGCTGAAGAGGACGTAATGGCCTGAAAAGGGAAAATCCAAGCTATATTGTCACCAGCATTCCTGACTATGGGGAGGACCAGCAGGAGGAAGTGGATAATCTTCCCTATGGAGCTGTGTGTGGCTCCACCAAGGTTCCAGCACTATGTGGAGCTCATGGGAGACTGGATATAATCCTAAGAAACTGAAAAGTTTCTGTGTTTGCACTGGAGGATAAGCATGAGCAGGATGTGACCTGCAGTTGGGGCAAGAAGGTCTTTCTTCTAACCTCTTGGAATCAATATACACCTTATTCAAAGCTATAGCACATGTTCAGGGAAAAAAGACCCCTCCCCAGCCCTCATCCATTGCTGGATGATCCCCCTTTAAGGTGGAAGTGTCCCACATCTCCTCTGTCACCTGGCAGGCATCCTTCTTGCCCTTGCGGTAGCCGGCACAAAGCATTCTGGGAGAGATCTGGTAGTGATAGGCCACACTGCAGATGTCCTGCTGGATCAGCTGCACATCCACCTTCTGTAGGATGTTACTCAGTTGCCCTAGGTATGGAACAAGAACAGTGGGTCAGTAACAGCAGAGCTCCCTGCCTCTCCTTGTTATCCCCAGACCACAGCCACATCTCACCTCTCTCTGTCTCCAGTTCATGGAAAGAGCTGCCACTTGGATCATATCTTCCCCCCTCCCCTAATCCTTACCTTAGCTTCTCACCTTTTACTTCTCACTTCACCCACAAGGCTCTACACAACTGATCCCTATTCAGCATTACCCTGCAGCTCTTTGCACCAGCAGGGCAGGAGGGGAGTAGAGCTGTTGGGTCGCCCTCAAAGTTATATAAGTATGATAGAATTATAATTATGTAGTAGTAGAAATAAAGATAGACAAAAGACTATATAGGTATGGTAAAAAGGTATGAACATCAGTTCCATGCTGTTGAATTTTGGCTAAGATCAAGTGTAGTATCTGTTCTTATCAGTTTAATATCTGATACGTCCTCTATCTGAGGACTATATATTAAATGGATTTTTGGAACAGGGAGATGGAATAGGAGCCTTGAACTCTATACCATTTTTTATTTCAACATTATCTTAATAAAATTATTAAATCTATTCTTATTTCACTCTGTAACAAATGCAAGGCCAAAGTGCTAATTATTTCAGGCTGGTACAGGACAAAGAGTCTGTGCTGGAAAGTGATAAGAACTTTGAGGAAATAATGCTGTTCTTCAAAACAACACCCTGATGCTCTTCCCCCGCGGGGGCCCCTTGTCATGCCTATGTAAATCTTGGTATCCAAAGAGGGAAAAATAGATAGTGGGATAAAACTTGTTAAATGAATCAAGAGTCATAGATTGTGTTGTTAAGTAAAAGAATGAATGATGAGTGCATGGAATTGAGAGCCTGAAGCAGGGAAATAATTGGTTAGTAAATGGTGCCAGCCTAATCCTAAGAATTTCAACCTTGATATCGATGGGCCGAAGAATATGCAAAGTGGAGATAACCGGATGACCCCCCAGAGGGCGAACCGGAATCCACCCAAAACGCATCAAGGAAGAACGAGAAGATAATACCTAGCCATCATGGAGCCGTCATGGATGTACCACCTGCTGATTGAGCTGATTGATGGTCATCTCAATTGTAAATTCAGCATGATGAAGCAACTTCCATAGACTTGTATTGAACCAGAGACCTATAAAAATTGGGTCCAGGGACTGTGTTCTTTGAGTCTGGTTCTACGACCACCCTCCAGGAGCATCGGATGCGCATCTGACAATGACTCGGCTCCACTCTCGTGTCCAGGCCACCTGGCCAGTGACTTGGCACAAGCAACATCTAGGCTGGTGACTATAGCAACCTTTATGTAGAACCTGTGTGTGAATGTCTGTGTGTGTGAATGGATCTATATAGAAATTGCATATAGGAATATTTTGTTGTATTTACAATAAATGTGGCAATGTGCCTTGTCCCTTTTACAAGATCCTGTTGGTATCATTTTTATGAGTGTAACAGAGCTATCTGGAGGATGACAATTCCATTTTGCAGCAACTTGTTGCGCTTTCAGAACTTGTTTTCGTCCCACAGTGGATTGAAAACATGGCCTTCTGAACATCCCCATGAAAACAGAATTGTGTTGAACTGTCCGGTTTTGGATCCAAACCAAAACTTTTCAATTCAGGAAGTAGCGTGGGTATGTGGCCTGGTGGTTAGGGCACTGGCTAGGGAGCTGGGAGACTCAGGTTCAAGTCCCTGTCCTGTGTGATTCAGAGCAGAGGTTTTCATCCCAGATCTCTCTGAATAAGGCAGAATCTTTCTGATGAAAACTTCATCCAAACTGCTAAGTCTCCATGACTGTCCCAACCAGCTCTATGAGGGGAACAGGAGGCCAGGGCCGGTGCAAGGATGTTTCGCGCCCTAGGCAAAACTTCCACCTTGCTCCTGCTATCCCCCTCCCCTGTTACTTGCTGCAGGCGGCCCCCCACCCCCGACCCCAGCCCACCTCCGCTCCACCGCCTCCTCGGAGCGCACTTTTGGCCGCCCCCAACCACTTGGCGGCTTAGGCAGCTGCCTAGTTTGCCTAGTGGTTGCACCAGCCCTGCAGGAGGCACATGGGCAATACTGTATGAGTGCAGCAGGCTGTAGTGACCCTCTCACCAGGGGCACAAGTTAGGACAGCCCTCAGGGGCTGCACTGGCTCCTGCAGCTGCTGATCGGAGGAAGTTCAAGCTGCAGCCCCTCCATCTGTCTGATGGTGCCTTATCCCTGCACAAGTGCAGGGCTATATCTGGGCCCAATGTTGTCCCTGCAGCCAGCTCTGATCTTCTCAAGCCTCTCTCGTTATTGCGCTTTGGCTCCTTTTCTTGACCTCAGCTCCACACCTTCTCTCATGCCATCCCTTGTGTTCCAAGTCTGGAACATCTCTAGCCTTTTTGTCTGCCAAGAGAGCTCCTGCTCCTCCTTGCCCACTTCTTTCACAAAGCTGTCCAGCATTGATCTTCATGACAATATTGCCCTGGGAATTCTTTCCCCATGTTTCATACTTACCTGTCTGAATTAAACACTAAGCTCATTGGCAGGGCACTGCAACTGAAACCTGATATAACTGGGTTCAACACTCCCAAAGGAGTTGTACCAGTCTACAACAGGTTAGAATTTGGACCCTTCTCATCAGTCAGAGAATTATAGCTATTATATGGACGGAACCTGTCACTGTAGGTCATTTAGCCCAGTTCCCTGCCAGGGTAGGATTCTTCCTTCCTATACTTTTACTAGTGCTTTGTCCAGTGTAGTTTTAAATGACCTAGGTTGAGGAGGGGTGTTACATTTTCCAAAGTGACACCTGATTTTAGGTGCCTCCATATTTGGGATGCTCAACGTCTTGAAGGGGCCTGATTTTCAGAGGGCAGGAGCTCAGCTCTTTCTGACAGTCAGGGGCACCAGCCACTTTTGGCTTCTACTGCTTCCCTTGGGAGACTATGTTGTTGTGTGCGTAATACACCATGCACACATATAGCTCCCCGTAAAGAATTATAGCTACAAAAATCCTTCAGGCTCCCTTCGCTTGCTGACAAAGACCCTTCTCTAGGTCTTTGGACCCAACGCCTCCAGCTGAGAGCTGTCCCAGAGCAGTGCACCTTCCCATCCCAGTCCTCCCAGGATGACCCATACTGTCATGAGTTTGTCCTAGGTCCTGCAAGCCCAGACAGTTAAAATCTCTCATCTTTTGGGGGACTTGTGCTAGTCTGTCTTCATGCTGTGATGTTACATCCATATGTGATAATTCTGCATGATGCAATATGATGATCCACTAGGGAGAGCTGGAGGCACTATTAGGGTAGATTGCAGTTGCAGTAGGTAAAGGGGGAAAGGGCACTGGCATATCAAAGCTTTCCATTATCTTTCAAGGAGCTTGGAACTGCAACATTCTCTGACTTTTGTTTGAGGGACCCTGCGTCAGATTCTTGCTAAGAACATTATGCCACACTGAAGCAACCAAGCCCTGAGGTGAGCCTCCTAGCGTCACAACAGAATTTATTTATTTGGGAGGAGATTTTCAAAGGCAGAAAGAGTAATTAGCCCAACTTTTCATGGGAGCTGGGTGTCTAACTACCTTTGAAAATCCCCCCTTCCTCCCCCCGTAAATCCTGGAAGAAAGGAGGATCCTAACAAGAGCAGCAAACATCCTGCATGTACCTCCTTCCTTGAGAGCCCCCCATCCAGTGATCCAGCAACGGAGGCCAGGTTCAAAGAGGTGGGAGTGGGCGGGCAAGCAGATGGGCTGAATGAAGGACGAGTTGATAACTGGGTGGTCAAGCTGGAGCAGGGCCACGTCGTAGTCGTGGCTGTCCTCCTCATAATACGGGTGCAGGAGGAGGCGGCTCACCTTGAAGGACACCTCATTCTGGCTGCTGACATTCTGAAAGTACTTGCCCAGGTAGACAGTCCAGATGGATGGGGAAGCCAATCTACTGGGGGCAAAGGGAGAAAAAGTGTGTCGGTGTTAGAGAGACAGGTGGGGCGTGCAGCACAAAAAGGGAGAGTGAGAAATTGGGGGAAATGAAGAAGAGTGAGGGAAGTGAGGAGAAGGCTGGAAAATCAGAGAGACAACGGACCGGCAAAGGAAAGGAAGGGAGCATGGGGAAAGTGACAGCTCTGTGAAAAGGTCAGAGAGGGAGGGATGTAAAGGAGGGGAAAGACATAGCTGAGGGCTGGTCTACACTGAAAACGTAGGTCAACCTAGCTACGTCGCTCAGCAGTGTGAAAAATTCACACCCCTGAGAGACGTAGGTAAGCCAACCTAAGCCCCAGTGTAGACAGCGCTAACTCAATGGAAGAATTCTTCTGTCAACCTAACTAGGATTTACTGCAGTGATGGAAGAACCCCTTCTGTCACTGTAGTGTCTACACTCCAGTGGTGCAGACATACCCTTCGGTTGAGCAAGGGTACATTACAAGGAGGAACAGCCCTAAATGGGAGCATAGATTAAATAGCACATACCTCCTACTGGGAAAAGCCAAGAGAGGTGGGGATTGGAGGTGGAGCAGTGGAGATGTTTAGATAGATTAGCTAGCATGCCTAAGGGGATGGGAGAGGGGAGAGCATGTTCCAAGTGGGAGGGTGAAGGGCAGAGAAGAAAACACAGTGGAGAAGACTGGGGAAAAATAACTGTAAGAGGCCTATTGTTTGGACACACGGTCCCTTCCACCTCTGTGCCTTCTCCCACGCTGCCCCTAATGCATGGGAAATACTCCCTGACAAACTCTCCAAACAGCTGCCACCTTCAGGGCCGGCTCAAGGCACCAGCGTTCCAAGCAGGTGCTTGGGGCAGTAGTTAGAAAGGGGCAGCAGTGTTTCCACGGCGGCGGCAATTCGGCGGCAGCTCCTCTGTCCCGCCGGCCGCGGCAGCAATTCGGCGGCAGCTTCTCCCTTTTGGCATCCGCGGCGGCAGTTTTTTTCACCGCTTGGGGCAGTGAAATCTGTAGAGCCGGCCCTGGCCACCTCATCCTCCATCAAATCCCTCCTTACGGTTCATCTCTGCCATGATGCCTCTGAACCCCAGCCTGCTGGTCCTAGCTGGGCGCATGCCCAACTGTGACTATTCCTCTTCCCCTTTTCTTCCTCCCTACCTCTAATCCCAGGACAAAATAATAATAGCAATAAAAACAAGCCCCACCCTACAAAATACATAACTAGCAAAGCGGTGCTAGTGTTCCACCAGATCCATCTGCTGGACTGTTGTAGCCATTTCCTCTACCCTTCGTCTGTGTGTGTCTCCGGATGGTAAGCTCCTCTGGGCAGGGATTTTCTCTCTTCGGTGCTTGCCCAAGTTCCCAGCAAAATGGGGCTCCGATTCTAATTAAGGCCTTTGCGGACTACCATATATAATTATTTACTATGAGTCACCTCTAGAGGGCTGTGACATGAGTGACAGCAAAGCTTGAGGCCCACTTTAAATGAGAAAAAAGAAAAGGAGGACTTGTGGCACCTTAGAGACTAACCAATTTATTTGAGCATGAGCTTTCGTGAGCTCCGGCTCACTTCATCGGATGCATGTAGCTCACGAAAGCTTATGCTCAAATAAATTGGTTAGTCTCTAAGGTGCCACAAGCACTCCTTTTCTTTTTGCGAATACAGACTAACACGGCTGCTACTCTGAAACCTTTAAATGAGAAGATTCCCAGGGGGTTGCAAGTCATCACTGGCCTAACACCTATCGGGTGAGGGGCCAAGGTGCTGGTAGCTTGAGCTCCACCAATGCTCTCACCACATAAAGCTAGGCTGGGCTTCCCCCTGTGAGTCCCCATTTACTCTTTTCTCGCATGAAGGAGAAAAGTCCAATTGTGTATGTTTTTAGGGTTCATGACCATTGTGGAACCAGAGCCAAGCACAGAGCGAATGGGAGCTATGCAAGCTTCCCTCCCCTCTATGCCTTCCCAGAGCACCTCAGCACCTCCCTGCTACCACAATCTTGCCCTCATACACACACATCTCCAGCAGGGCTTCCCAGGCCTGACTTCCTTGTTCCAGCTCTGAGCCACTACCGTCAATGGTTCCGAAGTGAGTGGCCATTCTGTGACGTGGTTCCAAGTTGGTTTAGGCTGAGACCCAACCGGCTTTGATGTGAAAGCAGTCTGAACTCGGTCTCCTCCACAGCGCTCTTCCCTCACCATTTACCTGTCATCCTGGAAGCAGTGAGCAGCCGAGACCACCCACCGATCGGCAATCAGCGTTCCACCACAAATATGGCTCCCGCGGACCTGAAGGCTAGCCTGCCATGGCCATTCCCCTTCTACAGAATTGGCGCCACCCACAATCCGGTTCAGAGGGGCCTGCCATCCACAGTCTAAGGAGAGGAAGACATAGGAAGACAAGGAGCAAAGACATCAAGTCTGCCCTTCCCCTTTGCTTTACTGACTTTCCAGTCTGCCATTTACACCATTTATACCCTTGGCCATTTACACCCTGCCTGGCACTGGCTGGAGCCATTTTATAGCATGTCAGGGCTGAGGTGACTGAAAATTCCAGTGTGAGGTTTTTCCCTATTATTAACACAGGTGAACCCTGCACCACCTTTCCCACACGCTTGAGCTCAGTCAGCAGCAGCTGGGACACCCGTGCTGTGAGCCTCCTCTCAGCAGTGCCCGGTCTGTGCCAGTCAGTGTTCTGTTAATGTGAGCTTCCTCGGAGCAGCGTCCCACTACTGGCAACCAGGACTCCAGCAGTGCAAACCAGGGCTCTGGTAGAGCGAGGTTCCTCACAGCAGGGCCCAGCCAGCACTGTTCTTAACTCCAGGAGTGGGAGCTTCCCCCTGGCAATGCCTAGGAGAGTGCCCTCCCTTCTCACTCCTCACCACAGTGCTTCTCATCAGACGAGTCCTTGCAGTCAGTGGTGGAGTCGCACTGAGGGTTGGGTTTCTTCACGCAGCTCCTGTCTGCACACTGGTAAGTGAAAGGCCCGCAGGGGACTCCTGGAAAGATGAAGTTGGTTGGGGGAGTAAAGGGGAGAGACTTGAATGAGGGTTGGGGGATTTCAGTGGAGAGCATGGGGCAGCCAAAAAACTCCACGTCAACCTTCTGCCTGGGTGAACCCCTAGATTAATGGGTGGGAGTTCCCTCAGTAATACCCCTGTATTAGCTGGTAGGTTAAGAGAGAGAATGTTACTAGCTGTACTTTGGTGTTAGCTGGTAGCAGGGTCCTGATCTGGGACTCAGCACAGGAATTTTATCAGTAGCTTATTAGAGAGACAAGGTGGGTGAGGTAACATCTTTGATTGGACCAACTTCTCACCAACAAAAGCTGGTCCAATAAAAGCTATTACCTCACCTCCCTTGTCCCTCTAAAATCCGGGGACTGACATGGCTACAACAACACTGCCTGCATTGTTAGCTGATAGGGGGAAATTTATGGCTACCCAGCAGTCTCCCCTCCCTACCTTCATTGCACTGCTCCTCGTCACTCCCGTTGACACAGTCCAGGTGTTGGTCGCAGACCTTGGTGAACTCTATGCAAGTGCTGTCCTCCTGACACTGGAATTTCGCCGAGCACACTAAGACCAAAGCACCCGGAAGAAACGGGTGGGATTCAGAAAAGCAAGGCAAAGGGAAAGAGCGGGTCTCTTATCCCTCAGCAATACCCACCACTAGTCACAAGGGGGCTTCAACTGGAAACACCATGTGGTAGAGGAGAAAGGGACTTTGGGTATGTCTGCACTGCAGCTGGCAGCGAGCTGCCCCACCTGGGTGGGGCAGTCAGACTCGCGCTAGCGGGGCTCGAGCTAACTGCAAATAGCAGTGGGGACGTTGTGGCTCCAGCAGAGACTCAGGCTGGCGCCCCGAGCTCAGACCCAGGGGTCACGTGGGCGTGAGAGCCTGATCGGCAACATCCACACCGCTACTGTTAGCGCCCGAGCTCGGCCCCGCGAGCGCGAGTCTGTCTACCCAGGCTGGGAGGCCCACGTGGTGTGAGGGTTAAGAGACCAGCCCATTTTGCCTCTGGAGTCCTGGCATCAAATATAGGACAAGTCATGTGTGAAATGAATTGGGCGGGTGGGGGGGACACTCAGCCTTGTCACATATTGTGCCCATCACACAGCCCCGTTTTTGGCAAGACTGGCCAGCTTTGTTTAAGAGAGACTAAGGGAGTACATGAGAATTTAGGTGTATCAGCAGAGCACCAATGTGGTATAGCGAACAGAGCACACCAGAAAGGTGCTGTGGGTCAGGACTGTAGTGCGTGGACAGAGCTCTAGGAGAGGCAACATGGACTTATGCACTGAGCAGAGGAAAGCAACAAAAAACAAAGTAAGCATCTGATGAAGTGAGCTGTAGCTCACGAAAGCTTATGCTCAAATAAATTGGTTAGTCTCTAAGGTGCCACAAGTACTCCTGTTCTTTTTGCGAATACAGACTAACACAGCTGTTACTCTAAAAGAAAACAAAGAGTAGAAATACATGGGTAGCTTTTCATCATGGCAAAGGTTCCACATAGTCAGCGATTACAAGGTCAGAAGAGACCGTTCTGATCGTCTAGTGTGGCTTCCTGCATAAGACAGGCTACGGATTTTCACCCAGGGGCTCCTGCTTCAGGCTCAATAACTTATGGCTGAGCTCGAACCTATATTTTAGAAAGACGCCCCATCTTGATTTAAAGCAGGTTAATCACAGAATCATAGAAGAGTAGGGCTGGAAGGGACCTCGAGAGGTCACCAAGTCCAGCCCCCTGACAGGTGTTTGTCCAGCCTGTTCTTAAAAACCTCCACAACCTCCTTTGGAAGCCTGTTCCAGAGCTTAACTACCCTTATAGATAGAAAGTTTTTCCTAATATCTAACCTAAATCTCCCTTGCTGCAGATTAAGCCCATTTATTCTTGTCCTGCCTTGAGTGAACATGGAAAACAATTGATCCCCGTCCTCTGTATAACAGCCCTTAACACATCTGAAAACTCTTTTTAGGTTCCCACTCAGTTTTCTTTTCCCTCCAGTTTTTTTAACCTTCTTTCACAGGTCAGGTTTTCTAAACTTTTTCTAATTTTTGTTGCTCTCCTCTGGATTCTCTCCAGTTTGTCCACATCTTCCCTAAAATGTGGCGCCCAGAATTTGACCCGGCACTCCTGCTGAGGCCTCACCAGTGCCAAGTAGAATGGGACAATTATCTCCCATGTCTTACCTATAACACTCCCATTAATAGACCCCAGAATGATATCAGCCTTTTTTTCAGCTGCATCACATTGTTGATTGATATTCAATTTGTGATCCACCATAACCCTATGACAGTATAAGGGATACCATTCCTTTGGGGTCAGAGGCCTGTCGCTAGCTGACTGGTGGATTAGCCTCACCTGCTGCACCTGGGAAAAGAGCTGGACCGTAACTGGCTGAGCCTCAGAAAAGAGGGCAGCAGGAAATGGAGGGGTGAGATGGCCAGACCCTCCTGAAAGCTGAGGGGGCTGTGTGCTTAATACTTTCTGCTGGAGCAACTGTACAGAGGGGTTGCTCCAAAAACCAAATGGACAGAAGGGAGACTGTGTGAAGTCCTCCTATTCCTGAGGCTCTGAGGTAAGAGCCAGGAGAATGGGTTGTGGCACTTCCCGGTGTGAGGGATGGATTTGGGGAAGGGACTGCTTAGCCTTTGAAGGGGTTTTTGATTTGTTAAGGTGGCTTGAAATAAAAAACAACTAAACCTGCTGGAATCTGCTTCCCTGGATTCTTTGAGAGAGCTCAGACTGAATTACACTGGGGAGTGAACTAGCTCAGCAAGAGCAAAACCTGGCCTAGTGCTACCACCTAGGCAGCTAGTCCCCATTTTGTAGTTAGAAGAAAAGGAGTACTTGTGGCACCTTAGAGACTAACCAATTTATTTGAGCATGAGCTTTCGTGAGCTACAGCTATGCTCAAATAAATTGGTTAGTCTCTAAGGTGCCACAAGTACTCCTTTTCTTTTTGCGAACACAGACTAACACGGCTGTTCCTCTGAAACCTGTCATTTTGTAGTTGTGCATTTGATTTTTCCCTTCCTACGTGAAGTCCTTTGCACATACCAACAAATGTAGTTCTGTGGCTTCTCTTTGAAGTCTGTTTTTAGAAGTTTTTTTTCCTGAGGAATGACTACTTTTAAATCTGTTATAGAATGTCCAGGGAGATGGAAGTCTTCTCCTACTGGCTTTCGTATGTTACCATTCCTGATGTCTGATTTGTGTCCATTTATTCTTTTGCATAAAGACTGTCCGGTTTGGCCAATGTACATGGCAGAGGGGCATTGCTGGCACATGATGGCATATATCACATTAGTAGACTTGCAGGTGAATGAGCCCCTGATGGTGTGGCTGATGTGGTCGGGTCCTATGATGGTGTCGTTAGAGTAGATATGGAGACAGAGTAGGCAATGGGGTTTGTTACAGGGATTGGTTCCTGGGTTAGTGTTTCTGTGGTGGGGTGTGTAGTTACTGGTGAGTATTTGCCCCAGGTTGGGGGGGCTGTCTGTAGGTGAGGACTGGCCTGCCTCCCAAGGTCTGTGAGAGTGAGGGATCATTTTCCAGGATAGGTTGTAGATCATTGATAATGTGCTGGAGAGGTTTTAGCTGGGGGCTGTTTGTGATGGCCAGTGGTGTTCTGCTGTTTTTCCTTGTTGGGCCTGTCCTGTACTAGGTGATTTCTGGGTACCCATCTCACTCTGTCAATCTGTTTCCTCAGTTCCTCAGGTGGGTATTGTAGCTTTAAGAATGCTTGATAAAGCTCTTGTAGGTGTTTGTCTCTGTCTGAGGGATTGGAGCAAATTTGGTTGTATCTTAGGGCTTGACTGTAGACAATGGATCATGTGATGTGTCCTGTATGGAAGCTGGAGGCATGTAGGTAAGTATAGCGTTCAGTAGGTTTCCGGTATAGGGTGGTGGTTATGTGACTGTCACTTATTTGCACTGTAGTGTCCAGGAAGTGGATCTCTTGTGTGGACTGGTCCAGGCTGAGGTTGATGGTGGGGTGGAAATTGTTGAAATCCAGGTGGAATTCTTCAAGGGCCTCCTTCCCGTGGGTCCATATGATGAAGATATCATCAATGTAGCGCAAGTAGAGGAGGGGCGCTAGGGGACGAGAGCTGAGGCAGTGTTCTAAGTCAACCATAAAAATGTTGGCATACTGTGGGGCCACGCGGGTACCCACACCAGTGCCACTGACTTGAAGGTATAATTTGTCCCCAAATCTGAAATGGTTGTGGGTGAGGACAAAGTCACAAAGCTCAGCCACCAAATGTGCCATGGATCTTGGGTAGCTAGTGCAAATTTAACACCATTAATTTGGGCTTGAATAGGGACTGGGAGCAGCTGGCTCACTACAAAAGCAATTTTCCCTCTTGGTATTGACACCTCATCAGGTATTGGAAGTGAACCACATCCACCCTGATTGAATTGGTCTTGTCAACACTGGTTCTCCACTTGTAAGATAACTCCCTTTTCTTCATGTGTCAGTATATTTATGCGTGCATCTATAATTTTCACTCCATGCATCTGACGAAGTGGGTTTTTTACCACGAAAGCTTATGCCCAAATAAATTGGTTAGTCTTTAAGGTGCTACCGGACTCCTCATTGATTTTGTGGATACAGACTAACACAGTTACCCCTCTGATACTTTGCACTTATCTTTATTGACTTTTATTTTGTTGAAATTGGACCAATCCTCCAATTTGGCAAGGTCCTTCTGAATTCTAATCCTGTCCTCCAAAGTGCTTGCAACCCCTCCCAGCTTGGTGTCATCTGCAAACTTCCCACTCCATTATCCAAGCCATTAATGAAAATATTGAATAATACCAGATACAAGACTGACCCCTGTGGGACCCCACTAGAGACATACCCCCAGTTTGACTGCAGACCACTAATAACTACTCCTTGAGTACAGCCGTTCAATCCGTTGTGCACCCGTCTTATAGTAAATTCATATTTCCCTAGATGAGACTGTCATGTGGGACTGTGTCAAAAGCCTTACTAAAATCAAGATATACCATGTCCACAGCTTATCCACTAGGCCAGTAACCTTGTCAAGAAATAAATTAATTTGGTTTGGCATGATTTGTTCTTGACAAATCTATGCTGGCTATTCCTCATAATCCTATTATCCTCTAGGTGCTTACAAATTGATTTTTTAATAATGTGTTCCAGTATCTTTCCAGGTATTAAAGTTAGGCTGACTAGTCTATAATTCCTGGGATCCTCTTTTAGTCTTGTTCCCCCTTTTAAAGATAAGTACCGTTTGCCCTTCTCCAGCCCTCTGGGACCTCACCTGTCCTCCATACATTCTCAAAGATAATTACTAACAGTTCTGAGATTACAGAACTAGCTGAAGCAATCACTTTAGAATGAATTTCATCAGGCCCTGCAGAAGAGAATGGCATGCCCAAGGTTCCATGCTAGGACTGGTGTTTAATATATTCATTAATAATTGAGGGAAAAGAGCGCAGTGAGGTGGCAACATTCGCAGCTGCTGCAAAATTATTTTGGTTAGTCAAGACTAGAGAAGACTGCAGCAAATTTCAGAGGGCAGCTCATTAACAGATTAAAGAAATTGTTAACAAATGCTCAGTAATGCATCTAGGAAGAAGAAACTTGATCTGTTTTAAATTCACTAACCATGCAAGAAAAAGTCTTGGATGTCACCTAACTAGCTTATTGAAAGCTTCCATTCCATGTACAGCCAGGCTCAAAGGGTATGTCTACACTGCATTGTAATCCCAGGTCGGTGGGACCTGGGTTTGTGGACTTGGTGTTACCAAGCCTGCGCTTGAGTGTCCACGCTGCATTGTAAACCTGGGCTTACAATTGCTGGACGCAGGTGTCTGAGCTGTGCTAATGTGTCCACACTGCACTACGCAGACATTCTGAATGGGGTCTGTGGCTTCAGCTGCATCTACACATCAAAATGACAGGGCCTGGATCTGAGTCACAGCAGGACTCGGACACTGAACCACCCCCCAGCATGGTCTTAAGACTCAGGTCCTGAGTGTTTGCTGACCCAAGTCAGACTGATTTGTGTGTGGATGGAAGGGGGAGTTGGCTCAAACCTGAGGTATAGCCTGGGCTTAGCATGCAGTGTGGACATACCCTAAAAAGACAAGCAAAGAGTCCGGATCTATCAGGAATAGGAATGAGAGTAATACTGAAAATATTCTAATGTTGTTCTATAAATCAAAGGTGCGTCTTCACTTGGAATACTGTACCCAGTCCTGGTTAGCCCGTCTACAACAAAACTAGAAGACTACAAAGCCACTACATTACACATCTTCAAATCCTTCCTTAAGCCCACCTTTGTCACACTGTCTGCAAAACACTCAACAGTGGCTCAGGCACTGGTAAGCACTGGCCACAGCACATGACATGTATTACGGTCGGCTCACTGTTACCTCGTGCTCCCCTTGCTGTTTGTTGCATCTACTTGTTGTCTTTTGTCTTATCATTAGATTATAAGTCCTTTGGAGGCAGGGACTATCTGCTTGCTATGCTTGTGTGAACAGGCCCAAACTCAATGGGGCTGGGGCCTCCAGGCACTGCCTCAATATATTTATTATTTATGTAATAATTAACACAAGGAGTTCAGATGATTAGAGGCCTGGAAAAATCTGGAATAATAAAAACAGAGATTTAAAAGACTAGGGCTGTTTACTTTAGAGATGAGATGAAAAGGAGGGGGCTTGACAAGCACACAGGACAATGAACGTGGTAGAGAAGGTAAATCGGGCTGCTTCTTTTTATCCATTTTAATAATACAACGACACAGAGACATTGAATGAAACTGAAATGCAGCACATTTGGAACTGAAAAAGGAAATACTGTCTTTTTACAGCCAACTCATAATTAGCCTGTGGAACTCACAGCCACAAGATATCAGAGGCCAAGAACTCACAGACTTTAAGGCCAAAAGGGGCCATCAGGATCATCTAGTCTGACCACCTGCACGTCACAGGCCACAGAACCTCACCCACACACTCCAATAATTGGCCTTTAATCTCTGGTTGAGTTATTGGAGTCCTCAAATCTTGATTTTTAAAAACTTCAAGTTACAGAGAATCCACCATTTACACTACTTAAAATGTGCAGGTGACCCGTGCCGCACGCTGCAGAGGAAGGTGACCCCCCCGCCCCCCGATCTCTGACAATATAACCTGGGGGGAAATTCCTTCCCAACCCCAAAAATGGCAATCAGTTAAACCCTGAACATGTGGCAAGACTCACCAGCCCAGAAACCTGGGAGAGAATTCTCTGTAGTAACGCAGGGGCCTTCCCCATCTAGTGTCCCGTCACTAGCCTTTGGGGATATTTGCTAATAACCGTCACGGCAGTCTCATCATACTGTTTCTCCCCTGTAAATTTATCAAGATCAATCTTGAAACCTGTTATGTTTCCCCTCTACCCCCCCCCAGCACTACTGCCCTTGGAAGGCTGTTCCAGAACATCACTCTGATGGTTAGAAACCTTCATCTAATTTCAAGCCTAAACGTATCGATGAATATTTTATATCCATTTGTTCTTATTGCCAACATTGGCCTTTAATTTAAATAACTCCTTTCTCTCCCGAGTGTTTATCCCTCTGATGTATTTACAGAGAGCAATCATATTTCCCCTCAGCCTTCATTTGGTTAAGCAATACAAGCCAAGTTCCTTGAGTCTCCTCTCATGAGGCAGGTTTTCCATTCCTCTGATCATCCTCATAGCCTTTCTCTGCACCTGTTCTAGTTTGAATTCATCTTAATAGGGTTCTAAAAAGGATCAGACATTTAGAGGTTGAGAACATCCACAGCTATATAAGACACCGGGGAGGACACAACTAGAGATAACAAACCCTCCTGCTTCGAATCAAGCACTAACTGATGGATTTAGAAAGAAACTTCCTCCATGGACAGGTTTAGTCAATAACTTTCCACAATAAGGTTTTCTGTACCTCTTATTGAATCATCTGGTGCTGGCCATGGTCAGAGACCAGATACTGGGGTAAGTAGAGCCCTGTGAGACCCAGCACTGTGATTCTTACGTTCCTGTGAGCACAGGACTGTGAGTTTCATGGGAGGCCTGGAACAGCAGAGAGGGACTGTTGCATGCCAGGACTAACAGGCACGGGCAGCGTTGCATAGAGGCACACAACTCCTCATCCCATCCCATCCTCAGGGCATGAGACCAAGAATGCCAAAGTTCTAGTGCCAATCCCTCCGCTGATTTGCTGGGTGGCCCTGGGCAAATAATCTAACTTTCCTCTCTGTTCTCCCCCCCCCCCCATCTGTAGTAATACTAAGAATACTTCCCAGGGCAGCTGTGAGAGTTAATTAGGTGATATTTGCAAGTGGTTTGACAATACAAAGAGTTTGTGAGGGGGCTGTACTCCCCACACTGGCCCTGCCAGAGCTGAATTAGGCCAAGTGGGCCCAATCAGCCAATTAAACTGCAAACGACAGTGCTTTAAGCTGTGTGGAGGGAGCTATTTAGAAGGAAGCTCACCTGTGAGGAAACAGGTGGGGCATCTATAAAGACAGGAGGCCGGCAGCAGCAGTGTGTGAGGACAACAGGGAGGAAGCCTGTAGTCCCTCTCCCTGAGGTAAAGGAGAAAGAAGGGGGAGAAGAAGCAGCACAGTAGGCAGAAGTCTAGGGCTGAGAGCAGTAAGGTGGTGAAGATGCTCATCTTAACTACTTCACTACAGGGCCCTGGACTGGAACCCAGAGTAGAGGGTGGGCCTGGGTTCTCCTACCATCCACTGCAGAATGGCACGGTTAAGGGCAGTGGATACAAAGGCTGCCGGAGTCGGTGTAGGAATGACTTAGTCAGGGCAGCAGTGTGAGGACTGCCTGATGCTGCTTGGGGAGAGATTTTGAAAGACTACCCTGGAGGAGGAAGATCTTAGTGAACTGGATGGAGGGCCAAGTCATGAAGAGGAAGCAGTAGCTCCTAGGTTGAGAGAAGGGTGCAGACTGAAAGAGAGAAATGGAGTGCAACTGCAGGAAAGGGTATTGGCCTGATGGAGCTAATACCCAGAATGGCCAGCAGGCAGCACTATCCAGTGGTGAGTAGAGTACTCTTACACAGAGCTCTGCTGTGCGAGCACTCCATATGTTATGGGTGGCCAAGACTGTGGTGTGTTGGCAGAGCAGCGTGGGACACTCAGGCCTAGAACAGCAGGTGGGGCTGTAGGCCAGGACTGAGGATCACTGGCAGAGCTGTGGTGGGAGAGAGGAGTATAGTTTTGTTTTGTTTGGGGGGGGGTTGTTTTCAGGGGAGAGTGTGAACACAGTCCCCCACTACCACAAATTATGAGGTCAAGTTTCCTGCATTTGGGGAAATTGCAGGGGTCAGCACACCTGCAGTGCAACGGATGAGCCTCATCCTTGGAAAACTACCTTTGTGGTCATGGCACGCACTGTACTAGCAGTGTGGGGGTAGAGGAATGCTGCAGGTTGGACACTGATTTATTTGAGGAACTTGTAGATCTTGGCGTATGGAAACTGTTTCTACTGCCCCATTTTCTGGGGCCAACTGTCTCTGTGGGATATATGGCCTCGAGAGTGTGTGGAGGAGCCTGGTGCACGTTGAGCTTTCAGTCTCCCTTCCTAACAGACTGAAGCAGTATGATTCTGGTGGACTGAAGACTGACTGCCTGCATGTAACCAGGCCAATGCCTTTGTTACTTTCACCCCCCTGACTGATGCAGTGAAGTCTCTGTGGGGTTCTCCTGTCTCCCCCAGAGATCCCCCCATTAGAGAGTTGGATTTGGACCATGGAGACCCACTCCTTTGTGCAGGAGAGGGTTGAACTGGGCTGAAAATCGCTGAGGAGAGACAGGGGGTAGAAATAATGGATGACGACTCACCACAGTTCCTCTCGTCCAGTCCATTGGGGCAGTCTTTGATCCCGTCACAGGCTGGGACGCACAGTCCATTGACAGAACAGAGGAACTCCCCGGGACAGGCTAAAAAGAATCACAAGGGAATGTTTAGTCCCCATTACAGGACCTCCTAAAAGCAAAACACTGAGGCTCGAAAGTGTGTGGCTACAAGTGCTATTGACCTTGCCAGCTCTCCATGGATGTTTGCTCAGTGCTTGCTATGTTTCCAAAGTCCTGTGTAATGGCAGCCCCTGGAATCCGTGCATACGCACCCTGGCTAGGCAATGGGGGTATTGAAAGTTTGTAACCAATGCAGGTCATATGACAGGGTCCAGGAAATCAAGGGCAATCTCTCACCAGAACTCCTGGGGGCTACACTGTTATTACATCCTGCCACACCAGGCATGATACTGGGATAGATTCCCTGGGGGCTGTTACAAAACCCTGGTCAGGGACATGAAAGAGGTGTCCCCATGACATTCAGGGAGTATGTAGAGAGGGACCGTGTACCCTGCCAAGTACTGCACAGTGAGACAAGACAGACTTGGAGAGAGAGAGAGAGAGAGTGTGTGTGTGTGTGTGTCAGGCTTTGTTTCTCATACACACACACACGGATTTCAAGGAAAAGCTGGAAATAACTCTCCAGGAGCCTTTGTGATTGAAACAGTCATTTCAAATTAAAATAAGCTAAGGCATCTAATTCCAAGGCCAGCTCAGTAATACAGAGGCAGAGGTGAGTCTACCTGTGCCTAGGTGTACGGTCCCTCAGTACCTCTGAGCTGTGCATATGATCAAGTGTTGTGTGTTTGTGTGTCCATGGTTCAGAGTGGTGTATGCGCACACATTCATGAGGGTAACGTGCGTCTGTACCTATAGGTGAGTTTGTATCTAGGACTTGGCATGTGTGGCTCTCAACACGTGCCAGGAGCTTAAGAAACCTGCTGGTGACTGGGTAGCAGTGAAAGATGCAGACTACATTCTCAATCAGTGTCTCTAAGCTATAAGAAGCCCCGTACTCACGATCAGATTGGTTATAGAGGCTGTAGGCAGCCTGCACTCCAGGTCCGGTTAGGGAGATCTGAGAGGTGAAGCTGATGGTGATGCCGGTAGAGGACACAACAGGAATTCGCTCGGCATAGGCTTGCAGGGTCCGCAGGCCACACAACCTGATAGAGAAGTACAGGCAGGATATCCAAGAGTTTGTATGAAGGAGAAAAAGTGTTGTCCTCAAGGGAAAAGGGTGTTGGGGCAGGAAGGTTCCATGGCACTTGAGAATTGGGGTCTGGACCATGAGAAGGAGAGAACCACAAGGACTGGGATAGCAGAGATGGGGAAACACTCTCTGTATGTTTTGGGGATGTAGAGTGGTGTTGCTCCTGGAAATGCAGGGGAAGCCAGGCTTTTTCAGCAGACAGGCCATCCAGCACCACGCTCTGCTCTCCACTGCACCAGCACTTAGCTACTTGACTGGAACGTCCTGAGGCCAGAGCAACTCCGGAGACATCACTGGTTTTACACTAGTATAACCAAGATCAGGGGCTAGCCCCGAGTGCCCAGAGAAAATGAAATGTGTGAGGAAGCAGCCCTAGAGACTGATGGAGGGAAAGGAAAAGAGACATGCTAAGGGTGAGATGGAGAGAATTTGAAATGATGGCGAAAGTAAACACCATTTAAAGTTTGTGAGAGACGTGTAATGGTTCTGGATGTTCCGGACTGAACAGCTTTGGGGAGAATATTATGCACTTGGTAACAAAAACCAGGCATAGGGAATTGGTGTCATGGTTGTCCTTCTGCAAACAGGCCATATTTTATACACAGGCCCAAATTCTGCTCTGCTACCTTAGCATAAATCCAGAATGATTCCACCTACTTTGGAGGCATTAATCCTGATTTAGCCCTGTCTGGGTAAGAGCAGAATTTGTGCTTTCTAAACCAGTGCTATTTCTATATTGTCTTTCCTATGAACTCATGTCCTAGATCTTCACATGGCTAAATAAGAGTTAGGGAGGTTGGACTAGGGAGAAAAGAAGGAAAAAGTACATGCAAGGAAGGGATGCAAATAAAGGGGAAGTTGGAGACATACAAGACAGCTGTTGCTGATGACAGGCTGTGACACCCATAGTGGAGAGTCTGAGGTCATTGGAACAATTCCCTGGATTGGGTCCAAAGACAGAGGTGGCTGAGCTCAGGTGAGCAGCAGAGACAAGGTCTGCATGGTAGGTTGGAAAAAGCCCAAACAGAGTTTTAAAATAAGAGCACAATTTTGAACAGGCTCCTGAAACGAAAGTGGAGCCAGCTGGAAGGATCTGAGAATGGCAGTGCATTGGCTGTGCTTCTTTGTACGTGGGAGAAAGTGGGCAGCAGCAGGCAATGCATGATGGCAGCTGGGCTTAGGGACGCCATAGAGAAGTCTTTATAGAAGGGAATTTTTAATAGGCAAAGCAAGAAGAGGCAGAGACTCGGAGGCAGATTTGTGCGGAGGAAGATTTGAGGCAGTAGCACACAGCCGATACTGCAGAGGTGGTGATAGGCACATTTGCAAACACAGGAGGTGTGGGAGGATGCCAGGGTTGCACAAAGTGGGGGAAACAAGACAATCTGCTTTACGCAGCACGAGGAAGAAGGGAAGTTGATAGCGACATTGGAGAGGTTTGAGGATGTTGCCTTTGCCCAAAAGAAGCACGTCTCTCTCTCTGAGATGCTTTTCTGAAGGAAGCTGAGGCAAAGCAATACATTGACTTGATCAAGATAGGCAGTCAGTGGACAAGGAGGAGTTACTAGAATATTGAGAAAGATATAGACAACTGAGTGCCATCAGCACAGTAGTAGCAGTTACGGTTAATAGCACAGATCAAATGACTGAGTGGGAGCAAGAAGATAGAAGTTACAGCTGGCAAATGTTTCCTAGCAGACCTGGGGACTGGCTAAACCGGAGGTCTGGGGGCGAATTCAGACTCATGGAGAAGTAATCTGGGGTTGGAGATGGAGAGTGATAATCCAGCAAGAACATGAGCACAGACCTTCTGTTCTGAATAATCCACTGGCCTTGAGTACACAGCAGATCATACTTCTGTCTCCTCAGTGTGTAGCCATCAAACCATAGGACAACTCCGTAGTCGAGAGATGGGACCTGCATGGAGAGTGGTCCAAGAGCAGAGATCAGAGAGCAGCAGCAAGCTGTTTCCAGCCAAACAAATGGGACCCATTGGCATGAAAGGGGCAAATGAACGCAAATGGGAGAGCAGTGAATTCACACAGTACCAAGCTGGCAAGAGTTAGGCACAGTCTACACAGGCACCAGGCCACTGCCCCCTCTGGCCACCACCTTAATCCTGAAGTGTGGCACCCTCAGTCATTCCAGGCCTGCCTCCCAGACCTCTGCCAGAGCCCCTCAGTCATGGCCTCCAACACTCCCTGCTAGACCACTCCTACCTCCCCCTAAACACCTTTCCCATTGCACCATCACTGCTGGCTGTTCCAGCCCTAGATCCTACTTCCAGCCCTGCCAAAGCACCTCAGCCCTGCAGGAACCCTGCTGCTCCAGTCCTGGGGCCTTGCACCTAGCTGTGCCAATGCACTTCTCTCCTCATCCCTGCTACTCTAATGCTGGGTCTTGGTTGAACTGAGACGGGCTGGATTTGAAGAACAGAAGGTGACTGCCTAGTGAGTTTGATAGTCACAAGTCCAGGGTGGAGATCTAGGCTGAGAGCCACAGCCAGAATTGGAAGTATTGTAAGGCAATGATTCCCAGCCGTTTCCTTACAGGAAACCTCTTCCCGCGCGCCTCCCCGCAACCTTCCTCCCATCTAGCTGGGGATCTAGGGGGGACTCCCTCCCATTTAGCATTACAGGAAGAGCTGTGATCTCATGACCTTCTGTTTGAGACTCTCTGCTGTAGGGTCTGCAGAGATGAAACTGCAGGGCACTCAACCCCCGCCCCCGCCCACACATCACTTGAGTCTGAGTGGAGAGGGCATTGCCACGGAGCAGTGGTGTAGGGGAAAAGGTGCCCTGGCGCTCTGTCCAGAGCCACTACTGTGGAAAGGTTTGGCTAGAGAAAGAGGAGGAGCCACGGGGGGTGGGGCTCACCGTCATGAGCCAGGTGCACTGTGTGTTGGGCGAGTAGTAGCTCGGGTAGTGTGGAGTGTTGATCTTCCCCTGCAGTTCCAGGCCTCCCTGCAGCGTTAGATTCACCTGGCAGTCTGAAAACAGACACCCCCCCACACACACACATCACCTGGGAAAACTGGATCCTCAGAAAAAAGGGACATGCCTCACCCACAAGAGAAGAATGGAGGAAGACGCAGGCTACGCGTTTGCTAGAGACCCATGAAGCTGTTTGCTGTGCTCATGGTCTGTGTTCTCTGTGGGACCAACATCATGCTTTCCCAGCTGGGTTCACTGGGAGCACCAGAAACATCCCAGGGGAGCTACTTCCTGACGAGGGGGGCCCCTCAGAAGCAGACTGCCGAGACAATCAACTGCAGGTGTGGTTGCCTGCTTGGCTTCCTACATTGCTATGCCGCCTTCCCACAGTGCGTATGTGTCGGGAAGAGCTGGGGACGATAGGGTGAAGGATCATAGTGCAGGAGATGCCAAGAGACCAGAGCTGGAGAAAAGGGCAGTGGGTACAGCACAAAAATGAGTAAGTGTCTGAAAAAAGAGGAAAGGCCAACTGGGAAAGGCTACAAGCTGTGATCTCGTGAGCTAAGCCAGGGTCAAGCCTGGCTTGTATTAGCTTGGGAGACACAACAGAGAAGTGTCCAAAGCAGTGTTGCTGCTGTACCCGGCAGTGCTCTTCCCTCTGACTCTCTGCCATTGCTCCAGCCTGGCGTTAGGGGTTACTGAGACATTAGTGTGGCCTTCTGTCAGTTGCCTTGGCAACCCCAGCCCTGACCGCTCATGGTTATTAAAGTTCCCATGGCACTTCGTGCAAATTAAGGTTGTTAACCTCCTTCTCTTGGCCAATTTCGAATAGGAATCTGTTCTGCTGACCTAAATTCCCCTGTGACTTTAGCTGAATGCAGGACTCCTCACTTCTATCTATTGCCATCCTTTTTTTGGCTGCCATCACTGGAGCATCTAAGTGCCTCACAATCTTTAATGAATTCCTATTCCAAGCCATTGTGTGGTGGTTCTATGTGCTGTGAAACAGCTGCCATATTCCATCTCAATGGAGGAGTATCTTGTGATGGTGGGTGAAGTGACCTGTAGAATACGTGTGAGGCTAACTGACAAGGGGTCTGCACTGTGTGAGCTCTCCCAGCTCCTTCATTCTCCACGCTTTCCCTCCAGCCTTCCTCACCTTCAGAGGGCACAGCCTGGGCAGTGAGGATGAAAGGATCGTAGTAGCTGTACATCGCTTTCTTCCATACCACGGACATGACGTGGCCCGAAGAAAGGACTTCCACCATGGGCTCCTGACGGCTGCAGCCATAGAATCTGAGAGGAAAGAGAGAGCAGGAAGTGTGAAAGAGGATGGGAATGAGTAAAAGCAGTGAGGAAAGGAGAGGAGTGAAGTGGTGGTAAGAGACGGAGGGGAGAGAGGGGATGCGATTATTCAGACCTTTAACTTCAGTATGTTGCTAGACATTAAGGCCCAGATCCTCAAAGGTGTTTAGGCTTCTGACTTTCATCAAAATCAATGAACATTAGGAGCCTAAATACCCTTGAAGCTCTGGACCTAGTAACCAAATCAAGGTATAGCACAGAGAAAAGGGCTCAGATCAGGGTGGGGGAACATGTCCGCACCCCTTGTTAGGATCTTCATCTTGTCTCAAACCAGACCACCTTCATGAGGACTCTGAGACCATGGGGTCCCCCTTGTGACGCTATGCCCCATATTCTTCTTAGAGAGATGCTTATGATATGAATATGGCATAACTAAGATATATTTTATGCAAAATGGATCATGTGAGGTATCATTGGAAATGTTATGATTTACTGTATATGATTATCCATTTGTATGCATATATCATTTCTGTATCTGAAGTTAGGAATATTGACTATAACAATTACAACTGTGTTTACGCTTGGGGGAACACCCACCAGACAGTGTGCAATCAGCCTGGATGGGCCATTAGGAAGGACAATAGGACTTTAAAGATACTAATCTCCCTCCTTCCTGAGAAGTTTCCTGGGAAGTTGCTTTGACACTGCAGGGTCATTTGTTCATGTCACCTAATACTGGACACCATCTTGGACTGCTGGTATTTTTCCACTAGGAGGGGGTGGAGGGTCAAACTGGGAAACAAAGGATTCCTGCCATATGCAAATCCTATTTAAGGCTGGGAAGTGAGTTAATCTTGGTGGTTCTTCACTGCCTCCCTGCCCAAGAAGGAAGACTGCTGCAAACACCTGAAGAAACAAAGGAACCAAGCTGTGGGGCAGGGAGCGCAGGTGAGAAAGGTCTAGCCTGTGGAAAGAATACCTGGAGATTTAAGCTGCAAGCAGTGCATCTTACTTTCAAGAAACTCTAATCTGCATGAAACAACATTTAGGGTGAGAATGTGCTACTATTAACTAGTTAATTTAGTATATTAAGCTTAGGTTGCGTGTGTTTTATTTGCTCAGTAATCTGCTTTGATCTGTTTGCTATCCCTTATCACTTAAAATCTACCTTTTATAGTTAATGCACTTGGGTTTTTTGGGTTTTTTTTTTTGTTCTATAACCAGTTTGTGTAATTCATAATGGGGAGGGCAAAAAGCTGAGCATATCTTCCTCCACATTGAAAGGGGGAGCGAATTTCATGACCTTATGCTATATAGATCTCTCCACAGTGCAAGACAATATAGTTTTGGGTTTACACTCCAGAGAGTGTGTGCACCTGAGTGCTGGGCAATCCCTGAACTGAGTCTTCCCACACAGAGCTGATCTCTGTCTCTGTTTGCAGCTGCGTGTGTCCCTATCTGTGTGTGTGCAGCAGGACAGGGTGAGGGAGCCTAGGCTGGTGGTACGCATGGGCTCAGTGGAACCGCAGTGCACCAGGTGGCACCCCAGAAGAGGGACCAACCCCTCATCCATAAATCAGTTAGTTATTTTAGACCCTTCAGGAGCCCTAGTTCTCCCTCTCATCTTAATTTGTGCCAGACCCCATTCCTAAGGAATCTTAGAGCCAGATCTTCAGCTGGTGTAAAATCAGCAGAGTTACACTCAAGTCAGTGCAGCTACACCAATTTATACTAGCTAAGGATCTGACTGACCTTCTTCCTACCGCTCACTGTACTTGATATCAGTGTCATACAAAAGCTACCTACGAGGTGATGAGATGGTTCTCCAGTGGCCCAGCTGCATCATACATGGCCAGCCGGTCCCTGCACTCTGGGAGGGTCCACTCCAGACGTAGTTTGATCATGTGGCCTTTGGGACCACGGAGGTGCCAAAGACAACTGGAGGCCAAGTAGTCAGGGCCCTTCAGCCTGAAGACTTCCTCTGCCCTGATGTGGCTGTACCTGTAGCAACCTGAATCCATGAGACAAACAGAACCCCAGAGTGCTGTTAGCTGAGTGTTGGAAGGGGCTCTTACCAACAAGATACCCTAAGGCTGACCAATACAAACCCCTACTACAGGGTTAGGTTCTTGTTAGCCCAGTTCCTCCCAGTGATCTCAGTTTACTGTCACACTTTACCCTAGTTCCTCCCCGTGACACCAATCACCTCTCACTAGCTAACTCCATGCTAATTATCCCCTTCTTCTAGGCAAACTCTCACTCTCCTATTTCTCTTCTGTTTGACTCATTTTCCTTGTTCCCCTGGCCCCATCCTCCGTTTACAGTACATGCTGCCTGTTCTCCTGCTGACACTTCTAATTCTCTTTGCGTTGGCAGCTGTGAAGGGGGACGGTAAGCGAAGGGAAGAGCGTTTCCAAATGCACACATGCATGCACACACAGCACCTGAGCGCAAATGTCCAGCTATTAGCCAGAGAGTTTGTGATACTGGGTTAAGTGTTCAAAAGTACCTTAGCCCAGATCCTCAAAGAGATTTCGGTGCTTAACTTCCATTGAGAGATAAATACCTAACACCTCTGAGGATCTGAAAGTCACAGTGGTGCTTTTTGAAAGTGTTCTTCACTGTGTGCAGCATCAGTGCTTCGTGAATACAATTCTCTTCCTGTCATTTTCCTTGATCTCACATCTCAGGACAGTAAACAATAATTCTGGCCCCTCACCAAATCCCCCCAAACAAAATGAACTCAAAGAGCAAGGGAAAGGATGGCCTACCCCGAGTGGATTTCAGCACTACTATGTCTTTCACACTGGATTCTGTTGGAAAGGAAATATATAAAAGACAAAAACATAAGAATCTGTAGTACCTAAAATCTAAGCTGTAGGATGGGCCCCTCTTCTCCTTTCTGTGCCCAATGGTTCTCTCTCCCCCCACATCAAGCACTACCCTGGGTGCCTTCGTTGCTTCCTATGCCTGTTATCAAGATCTACCTTGGTCACCTCCTCTAGCTCCCATTCCTCCTATCCTGGGCCCTGTCCCTCTTACCCATGATGCCTCAGCCTGCCATGAGCCTCTCTCCTTCTTTGCTTGCCCATCATCTGGTCCTCTCTCAAGTATATTCTTTCCTTCCCACACAAGTCAGTCATTAACCTAGGCCACCAGTCCTTATCCTTCCCCTCCTAACCGTGCTCATTGTCAAGCACTAGTACACCAGGGAAGTGCCTTGCTTCCCACACCTCCCAGGCTCTACCCTGGCTGCCTGCCTGTGACCCAACCCACTTTCCACCTTCTTTCTCTCTTACTTTAGGTGGAAAGAAGGTTCCTTGGGGTGAGCAGAGATGTGGGGGTAGAAGGATCCAAATCCCAAAGGGGATTGGGCTCTTCTCACTCAGGGCCTAAAGGCAGGAGGATTCTTTCCATTGACTTCAGTGGGCTTTGAATCTGCTGTCAAAGAGTTATGAATGGGGGAAAAAAAAAACCCTGAAAATGTGAGGATAATAGGGAGGATTGGTACAAGTGACCACAAGGTATGTGAGTTTGGCACAGTGAATACTAGGTTAACAGAATACTGCAGTCCAAAAGGATTCTTTAACAAGAAAACCAGTTATGGGGAATTAAGAAATCTGGGGCCCTATTCTTCCTGTTGCAGGATATGAATAACTTTCATTGGAAACAGTGGGAGTTTCTTGTAGTCTCTGAGAGACAGGGGTGGAGAGATAACAGGGCCTCCGGTGAGTGATGCCCAATGGATACTGCTTTATTAAATGTACTTTTTAAAAAGGAACATAAAGAGAGGACAATCCACAAGCCTGTTTAAAAAAATAGTGTCATAGGGTGGTTGGCTCATTTAGGGGAGTTGGGCCCAGCCCCACCTGTGACTGATCAGCTGCCTCCCAGCTCATGCTAAGAGGCAGTGATCGCGTGATAGCTTGTAGATCACCTGGTCCTCATAAAGGCCAGCAAGAGGTTTGTTGAGCGGAGGGCTGCTGAGGGGTGGGAAGAGTGTGGTTTCAGGAGTTCCTAGGGCAGGGAAAAGAGGCCAGGTTATATATGATTCCAAGGCAGATGGCCTGCTAAGGGTAATCCTATAGGGAGTAGACAGGCTCCTACAGAAGACCTTGAGTCAGGGTGAAAGGATGTGATTGATGTTTTTGAACCTGTGTTAAATAGATTTTTATTCTGGAGAAATAAAAATGAGTTCCTGAAAGAAAAGGGGCTGAAATCCTGTGGCTAGAGAGAGATTGCGGGCTTACAAATAGTTATTAGTAAAGTGAGGGAAGACTTGGACAATCTTACCACATACAAATCAGTGGGCTGATAAAATAGGCACCCCATGATAGAGAGGCAGCTAACAAATTTAGTAATATTAAGAGTCTTCACGTAGGAGCATTTGGTTGAGGGTTTTAAAACACTTTACCGCTGTCAATTAATTACACCTCAACAAGCTGTGAGGTTGGAAAGTGTTGTTAACTATCATTTTATTCCCACTTTACAGATGGGTAAACAAAGACCTAGATTAAGTGATTTGCCAAAGCAGTGTCTATCCCAGAGAGAGAATCCTGGGGTCCTGATTTTTGCCCCCTGCTGTAGGTGCTAGGCATACTTCTTCCCAAACTGTCAAATCTTATTCAACTACAGACATTACATTTTGAAATTTCATGGAGAAACAGGGAAACCCCAATGGATGATCGTGGCAATTAGAATTGAGCAAATCTAACTTTAGACCCTAATAAAATAATGAATAAATGTGAAGGGGATGAGAGGAAAAAACTGAAAACCTTTAAAAGATAATGGTACTGACAAACTCAATTGCTAAATTACTAAATTAGTGGATAAAGGGAAAGCAGAAGATGCAATATAGCTTGATTTTTAGTGAATCATTAGGCATGTGTTTCATGAAATCTTAATTTAAGTTGGCTTGAATGTGAGCACTGTCACATACAGTGCACCAGAAACTTTTTGAAAAGCTGCAAATAAAAAATAATTATAAATGGCAATTTAATAAACGGAGAGAGGTGTTCAGTGGGACGTTAGGTCTGGTCTTATTTAACATCCTCATTAATGATCTGAAAAAGGGAGTAAAAAGCATTTTAATGACATTCCCCAATACTAAATTCAAAAACAGCCATGAGAACAGAGAGAAAAGGACTGTGTGAAATGACAAATAGGGTAGGGATATACCAAAATAAGATTAATCTGGGGAAAATGCAAAATAATGTATCTAGGGGGAAATGGTTGGAAACATATTATTTAATGAGAAACTTGGAACTGGCAATAGTGAAAGAGACCCTGGGAGTAACAATGATAGCAAATTTACAGATGAGTTTGCATGCAATAGGGCAGAATTTAAACAAACAAACAGTGATTGTGAGCTCTATGCACAGAGGTATCGCAGCACAGAGCAAGGAGGGAGCAATCACACCATAAGCCTGATCCAAACCCCAGTGCCATCAATGGCATTTTTTTCCATTGACTTAATGGACTTTGGATCAAGGCCTAAAAAGGACCTGAAATATCAAGGGCAGTTGTCAGGACCTCATTCCCAGGACACTTTAACAAGCTGTGATCTCTATTTTGTGCACTGATTAAAAAAAAAATCTTGAAGTCAATATAAAGAATTGAAATGATGGAAATATTACAAGCATCATGAAGCAGAAACAACTGTAATCTAAGTATGTTGCATTCAGTTCTGTTCTCAGTCTATCGGAGAGTGGAATAGTCTCCCAAGGAACGTCATGGAAGCCCAGTTGCTTAGGACATTGGAGTAAAGCTACAAAGCATATAGTGTAGGGAACAACTCAGTGTTTGCCAAAGTTGAAGGAGGAGGTAGAGGAAAGGACAAGATGCTACCTAGTCAGTCACTGCTATCTCTTACTCCATGAGTCTGTAATTCTTCAGGGGAATAACCAAACTTCATGAAAAGTGTGTACAAGGAGGAAACATTTGCAATTCATTCCTCTGTCCTGTTCTGTCTTTTGCCTTTCCCTCTAGCTTACACTCTACCCTTCCTCTCTTTTTCCCCTCATCCCCCTTCCTCTCCCTTCTTTAACACACTCCTTTCCTCTCTTCTTCCCTTTTAGTAATGCCATTCAGCCTAGCCTCTCAGCCTGCCGGCAGCAACTTATAGGCCTCAGCCCCTGATCCTGAAAGCTTAGGTCACACTTGGGTGGCTGATACATACCCAGCAGAACCAGAGAATCTGGATCAACCTTGTACTCTGTCTGGTAGGAGAGTCTGCCTGTACCGTTGGCACTGGCGAGAAGCTCTCTGCAGAGAGTCATGTTCACCCTCTCAGCAGTCATCTCCTTGTGCTGACTCTTGGGGACTTGAAGGGCGAACCAGAAGAAGAAGGTCAGGGACCCCTCCCTAGCAGGGAGATAGCACATTAATTTCCTTCATCCTTTTCATTTCAAGTGAGTTCAGCCCTGGAGACAGATGTCGTCCTCTCTTTAGCTACAGATCAAGCACATCAGTGCAAACGTCCCAGAACACACTGCCCCACCAATGTGCCTCAGCCCCAACTAGAGAGACCACCTTTAGTGGAAAAGAAGAGCCAGTGTATCAATGGTCCATTCAATAGTTGGTCTTTCTGCTGAGGAAGCCATCTTGTGCCACCGGGAATGGTGGGTTTAATGATCTGGATACCTGCCCCACTAGAAACTAAAATGAGATCATTTAAACTTTTTTATAATCCACTTGAATGTGCTTCAGGTGGAAATGACTTGAGGTCGCTGCTGCCATAGATTGAAAATGTTGACCTTTAAGGCTCCATGTCCCATCTCCCAGTAGTGACAAGTGACTGATTCTAGACTCTGTTCAGCTGATCAGAATGAGCCTTTAATCCTGTGCAGGGACCATTGATACATTGCAGGAGATCACAACTATTGTAGTTTGTCAGCTAAATGACAGAGAAAATGGACCAAGCCAGGAAGCCTGAGTGAAAAAATGTGAATGAAACATTCTCCTGCTGGAAAAAGGTGTTGGGTTTTTTTTTTGGTTTTTTTTTTTTGGTTTTTTTTTCTGAAATAGACATTTTTGGTGGGCAAAGATCACTGTTGATGTAATTTGCCATTGGGAAAAGCAAAACAAAATGTCAGGATCGTGTTGACACTAATCTCCACATCTGTCCTAGCCACCACAGTGTTCTGTGGCAGTTGTAGGTCTAGGTCCCTCCTACTCCACTTCTCCCTTACGGGCCCTGCCCTGTGCAGAACTACATCTCCCAGGATGCACCATGGTCTTTCTCTGTGGTGTTTCATTTTGTGCTGACAGTACAAAATGAAACATTTCGATTCAAAGAATGCCAAAACATTCTTTCAAAAGAAAATGCTGAGACTAAACCTTTTGACATTTCTGAATTAATTTTCTTTCTGGACTTTTTGTTCCATGAGAAGTTTTGATATTTTGATTTTCATCTGAGTATGGGCTGACAAGCAATGTTAAATTATTGGAATTTCCTCTGGGATGGAAATTCCACTTTTCAATAGGCTCTAATCCAGAGCCCATGTGGAGTAAGAATGGAGGTTGCAGCAGCTCTTGTCTGATGAATAGATGGCTACTGAACAAGATCACAACCTAGCTGTAACTTTCACATGGGACAGAAGAGACAGAGTCCTGAAAAGCAAACAAATGTGGAAGTAACACTCACCCGAAGGCATATACTGTGCTGGAGTTGTAATATGGATCCAGGTCCGTGACACGAATAAGTTCCCTCAGCTGTAACGAGAATGCCAACTGATAACTAGCCAGCAAGAGTACAACACCAAACTTCCCAGGGAACCCACCCAGTGCTCCAGCCCCCTCTGTTTTGGTATAACCTGCTTAGGCTTCCATTCACAGAAGTACCTGTGGCCCGTTTCTCCTACTCACTGACCTGCCTCAGCCCCCACACATGAAACCACCCTCACCATCTTCTGTAGCTTTGCTGACTCAGTCCAGAAGGCTCTGGATTCTGGCCGTCCAAGGTCCAGGGAGTACTGACAATTGAGGATCCGGAGGCTGCCAGAGTAGAACTGCAGGACAGTTGATTCCAAGTGTCGTGGTCTGTAGTCTGACAACAAAAGACACAGACAGCTTAACCCATGGATGTGGAGGACAGAAGGCTCTTTGGCTGGGTGGGGGAACTTAGCTAGCTCCCTAGGGAATCAGTGCACAGATGGGTGACCCATGGCAACCCATCCAGGAGTCACTGATTCTCTTTGGCATCTAAATCAGCTTCTTCCTTGCTAGGACACATGATCACCAGTGTAAAAGACAAAACACAGTAGAACTGTTACCTAGGAAATACCAGGTCAGCACACCAGCTCCAGCCAACAGCACAAGGACTATCCAGAGGGGTGCATAGCGCAGGCAGTCGTGAGCCTTGCTCTTGGGTTCATCTTCAGATGGGGTGTTTGCATCTTCCTCCTGCTGCTCAGCCTCCATCATGGGCATCTAGTCAGGCAGCAGACCGTCGGTGAGGCTGAATTATCTATGCATCCCTTCCTATGTGTCCTTTACCATCTATATGCTCCTCTTCCTATCTGTGTATCCCCTTATTATCTATGCCTAGGGCCCTACCAAATTCACGGCCGTGAAAAACGTGTCACAGACAGTGAAATCTGGTCTTTTGTGTGCTTTTACCCTCTACTATACAGATTTCACAGGGGAGACTAGCATTTCTCAAATTGAGGGTCCTGACCCAAAAGGGAGTTGCAGGAGGGTCACGGTATTGCCACCCTTACTTCTATGCTGCCTTCAGAGCTGGGTGGCTGGAGAGTGGTGGCTATTGGCTGGGTGTCCAGCTCTGAAGGTAGCACCCCGTCAGCAGCAGCACAGAGGTAAGGGAGGCAATGCCATCCCATCCCATCTCTGAAGGCAGAACCCTGTCAGCAGCAGTGCAGAAGTAAGGAGGGCATAGTATGGTATTGCCTCCCTTACTTCTGTGCTGCTGCATGCAGAGCTGGGCGCCGGAGGATGGTGGCTGCTGACTGAGGGCCCAGCTCTGCAGGCAGCAGCGCAGAAGTAAGGGTGGCAATACCACACCGTGCCATCCTTCCTTCTGCGCTGCTGCTGGCGGCGGCGCTGCCTTCAGAGCTGGGCTCCCGGCCGCCGCTCTCCAGCTGCCTGGCTCTGAAGGCTGCGCCGCCGCCAGCAGCAGTGCAGAAGTTAGGGTAGCAGCACCGCAACCCCCCCTACAATATCTTTGAGATCCCCCTACAATAATCTTGCAACCCCTGAACAACTCCTTTTTGGGTCAGGACCCCTACAATTACTACACTGTGAAATTTCAGATTTAAATAGCTGAAATCATGAAATTTACGATTTTTAAAATCCTATGACCGTGAAATTGACCAAAATGGACTGTGAATTTGGTAGGGCCCTATCTATGCCAAATCCCTAGGACCTTGCTCATTGCTTTCACAAGCAAAACTCCTGTTGAAGTCCCGCAGGAGTTTATTCAGTCATTACTTAGGCAGCAGCTGACTGAGACCTTTAGGATCATGCCCTATCCATCCTCCTGCTAGTTCTGTGCCCCTAGCGTCTGTATGTCCTAACTTTTTAATACATTCCCCAACATACCTGTGTCTCCCCACAAATCTCACTGAATGCAACAGTATCACCTTTGCAGACTGCTGAGCTCCAGGGTTCTGCAAGGCAACAGGAATGCTTTCAAATGTTGCAAAACCCACACTAAGGTACCTCCTTGCTACCCCACCTCTCCCCATTCCTCACTGATGGATACTAGGGAGCAGTGACCCCCCAAATGTAATTCAGCCCTCTACCTTCTACATCGCCATCTTTACTCCTCCTCCCACAACACTTGATTGTCTGACTTATTCCTGCCTTCTCCCCTTCCTGTAATTCCCCCGTGATTCTCTGCTAAGAAGTACTGTAGCCTGCCAAGACTGGATGCTCCTGGGCTGGCCTCCTCGGACACTTTCCCTCTCCTGTCCCTTAAGAGGCCCTGTGAAAGTCCTGTCACACAATAACATACTAGCAGAGGCCAAAGGATTTGCATGTCTCCTTCACTGAGAAGCGACGTATGAGTGTGCGTGAACGTGAGGGAGTGTGAGGGGGTGTCAGAGAGTGCCTGAGTGTGTGTTAGCATGTTCCAAAGCCTGTTTACATGGTGCTCTGCCTGCCTGGAGGACACACATGTGTGTGTTAGTGAGTTATGTACATGCATGGGACTGTGCCTGTGTGTGTTAGAGTGTAGGTGTGAGGGGTCTATGTGAGTGCCTGTTAGAGGAGGTCCCTAGGGGGTTGAAGCATGTGGATGCACATACATGTGCTCACATGGAAGTCTGTATTACCATGTATGCTGCATGACCACATGAGAACAACAAAGGACAGCCAACATTCCTTATTCACCCCGATACTGAGGCTCCTCCCAACCCTCAACTTTGCTCCTCAAATACAGAGACACATGTAAAAAGAACAGGAGGACTTGTGGCACCTTAGAGACTAACAAATTTATTAGAGCATAAGCTTTCGTGGGCTACAGCTCACTTCATCGGATGCATTCTATGAATTCTATGCATCCAATGCAGTGGGTTGTAGCCCACGAAAGCTTATGTTCTAATAAATTTGTTAGTCTCTAAGGTGCCACAAGTCCTCCTGTTCTTTTTGTGGATACAGACTAACATGGCTGCCACTCTAAAAAGAGACACATGTAAAAAATGTTAAAAAAAAAAAAAAGCAACTCAGTGGAAACATCTAACTTAACAAGAGCCGGCACAAAGACAACAATGAATCCATTAACGCCACCACTTCCTGTCTCCTACAACCCTCTCACATGCGGTAGAGATCGGAATACACCGATGTTGCTCTTCACTGTGGTCTCCTTTCAGCTGACGTTCCTCAGGGGTATCCCCCCACCCCAGAGCAGAAGGGAGGAGTCGAGGGTCTCTACTCCACCTTCAAGGGATTCCTTCAAAACAACAGCAGCGTAAAGAACCACAAACTGATCAAAAAGAGCCTCCCTTTGCTAGAAGATCAATTCTAGGCACTGGGGTTTCCCCCAGAGCTACAGACCTACCTTTGAAACCTCCAGCTCTGCGTGTGGCCAGGCGCACACACATTGGTAGACATGTGTTTACTCAAGCCCCTGGCCTCTCTGGCGATCAATAATCTGAGGCCATGTCCCTTTGTTTTGGCCTTTGCCCTGTCCTGCCCTACGGAGAGGGCTGAGCTTGCCCAGGAGAGCCACAGCTTTCTCTAATGGAGGATGACTCAGAGGGAAAGGAGGTTTGCCAAGAGAGAGGATCTGCAGGCTGTGAAGAGATGATGCTGTAAACAGCCAGGGTAACAGTTCCCCTGTCCCCTGAGAAGCCTAACCTGGAAGGCAGGTGCAGATGGATCACAGATTCCCTCTATGGGGGCAACTAGTTGCTCAGCAACCGCTTTCTGTCTTAGTTACGCTCATGGGTCCCAGTGGAGATAAAAGGCACAAATGGCACTGAGAAGAAAAGACTTGTTCAGACAGGGTAGGGTGGGGGACGCTCTTGCTGAAGGCAGTGGGCTGTACAAAGGCGGGACAATGGGAGGTGGCAGGGGCTAGCACCGTCCAAACTAATAGCACTGGTAAGAACTAGGCAAAGCTTTATCCATGCCCCTCAGTCCTGTCCTGTAACGCTCCCTGCCACTCCAATTATCAGCCTCCCCCTGTCCCTTCTTTGCCAATTCTCCTCACCTTCACCCTATAGCACCCACTGCTAATCCAACCCTTGGCTCCCACGCGGATTTGCCAGTGCCCCTCACTCCAGCTTGGCACATCCCATTTCTTTAGCCCCAGGCTCTCCATGCAGCTCTGACAATACATCTCACCTGACTCACCTTCTGGCGTACAGTCCAGGGACCCCACCCTACATGCACCCTTGTGCTCTGAAAATGTACCTCATTTTTTTTTTTTTTACCAGAAGTACCTACGCTTTAGCCATAAAGAAATAAAGGCCAAGGCAAATGGGGAGACAGTTATATCTTTTATTGGACCAACTTCTGTTGGCGAGAGAGATGAGCTTTAGAAGTTGGTCCAAGGAAAGATGTTACCTTACCCACCTCATCTCTGTAATATCCTGGGGCCAACATGGCTACAACAAAGTAAATGGAGTCACCTCAGTGATAATCATTAGTGGAAATTCCCTCTTAGCCGACAGAGGTTACCTTGATATAGCTCTCCCTTGGTATTGTCACTAGTCTGTTATTAGCTGGTGAGGAATAGTCTTTCAGCAGGAAGTCAGGGGTTCAAATCTAGCCCCGGGCCAGCTGAGAATGAAATCTGTTACTATACAGTGTCTTTACCGCAGTTTTTAGTGGACAAGTACTCAGATCACCAAAACTATGTGTTTATTATACAACTCTGGTCACTGTACTATCTGAGCACCTCTCACCCATGAATGAAATTACCCTCCCTACAGCCTGGGACTCAGGGAAGGATCATTATCACCACCATTTTACAGATGGGAAACTGAGGAACAGAGAGACTAAGGGTAAACATTTTAAAAGTGCCTAAAGGACTTAGAAGCCTAAGTCCCATTTTCAAAAGTGATTTAGGGTCATATTTTTAAAGGCATTTAAATGCTTAGCTGCCTTTCTAGGTACCTAATACCTTTACATATCTGGCACTTGAGCACCTAAGGGTAAAATTTTAGAAAACCCCTACATGGCTTAGGAGCTTAAGTCTTATTGAAAGTAAATGGGATGTGGGCTCCTAGGTGCTTAAATTCCTTTTGAAAATGGAACTTAGGCTCCTACATGATTTGGGTGCTTTTGAAAATTGTGCTCCAAGGTCACATGGGAAGTTTGTGACAGTGGGATTGAACCCAGATGTCGTGATTCCCAGGCCAGTGCCTTCAATACGAGATCATCCATCCTTCCTTCCAGAAAACAATTGCCTTGCCTTTGTTTATAGTCTTCGTAGAGAGGCCAAATACTGAGTCCAGGCTAATGTCTACATTACAATTTATGTCAGCAGAAATTATGTTGCACAGGGGTGTGTAAACCATCTCACTGACATAAGCGCCAGTGTGGACAGCAGTGTGTCAGGAGGTGGTTTTATTATGCCAATGGGAGAGTTCTCTTCCATCAGCATAGAGCATCTTCACGAGACACGCTACTGCAGCACTGCTGCAGCACGGTATGTGTAGACATTAATCTAATCTAACCAATCTGAGTACCACATTCATCACTGTGGTATCTATGAATAAACCAAGAACACAGACCCAAAAGCAAATCTGACTTCAAAGGAGTTGCACCATCAAGGCTGAATTTGGCCCTGAATTACCACTTTCCCATGGTGCGGGATGGGGACTGGCTGTTGTGCAGTTCTCCGCAGGTCAGAAATGAGGTACGTTGGTAGGGATGTCAGGGTAGCGTGTGTGTGTAAACCTGCATTGCTGCTATCTATGTTGTACCTGTGCTCCAGATAAATAGAGGACTCTTTCTCCAGGACTGCTGGCCCAGCACTTTTCACTGGTGCTGGAGTTCAGTTTAATAAGGAAACTATAATTGATGGACACTGTCCTGTGTTGCACTTTTTCTGTGGCTTTGTCCATGCTACATTTGGATCAGCTGGGGGCCCTTTAGACCTTCATGGCACTTCCAAGGAGTCTTCAGGACTCAGCAGAAAAGGGTCGTGAAGCAACTGGCAATGGCTCTTCTACACCACAACTCAACTAATCTCATATCTGCAGCAACTTTAGACCACATGACCTGGTTTCCTGGAATAAAGGTCCAGTTATCTTCAGATCTTACGCTGAGCACTTCCTGCAACAACACGTCACACATTCACACCCCAGAGTGGCTGCTGTCTCACTTCTAGCAGCTTACATGCTTGAAAACCATCAGCATTTTCAGAAGTGGGAAAACGTTTAGTTGGCCAAGTGATTCTCAGTGGCCTGCGGCAGTTTCGCTGCCAGCAATACTTCCTGAGTCTATCTGGAGGGGATCATAGTGACTAGGTTCTAAAATACAATTTACGTTACTTCTACCCTCCCTATTGCTGTCTGTGACTGAGGGTTAATTCCCCTGAAATGTCTTCCCCTTCCCCTGAAGCTGCTATCAATTACCCAGCTGTCTGTGACTGAAAACTATTCCTCCCGATGCCTCCTTTCTACTCCCTGAGCCCAGTGCTCAGCACATGAATGTCTGTGAATGAGGGTTCATCCCCCTGAAACTGCTATCTGATCCCTACATCTGCTGTCCAAAGGATCTAATTCAAAGCCCACTGAAGTCAATGGGAGTCTTGACATTCTTTTAATAGAGTCATAGAGTATAAGGTAGCCAGAAGGGAGCACAACTAGTCTGACCTCCTGTATAGCCCCAATACCAGCCACACCCTCACATTAAACCCAACAACTGAAATTAGACCAAAGGATTGCAGCCCACAGGAGACTAACTTTGGATCAGGCCCAACAGCTGAACTATCTATGAGTGAAGGACAATCCCCTAAAATACCTCCTTCTGCTCCCTGAGCCTAATCTACCAAGGCCCAACAATCTTTGGCTAAAGGCAAATTCCCTTTCTGCCCCCTGAACTCATTGTTTAGGCAGCAGACTATCTGTGACCAAGAGCTAACCCCCCTCATGCCGTCTTCCTGATCCCTGAACTGTGATCAAGAACTAACTTCCATCCAACCAGTAGCATTTGTTAATATCCAAGTTCCCCTACCAAATGGCAAGGAAAAATGTACTATTTTGAAACTGCATTGATTTTTATTTTATTGACAAAAGGGCTGGTATTTGTTACTCATTTTAGCAGCAAGAATGATTAAAAAGCTTATGAAGAAATACGTAGGAACAGAGGAACCGCTATGGGATCATTGGCCATCTAAGCTAGCATTCAGCCTGGCAGTGCTTACTCTTTATGGTGCATCTTGAGAGCTTCCCATAGCACAGTAAATACACTGGGCGGCCGTGTCCTCACTCAGCTGGGAAGCAGTTGTTTCTTCTTTATCCCCAGTCTCTCTGAGATGGTGGGACAACAGGCATCCTGAGACATGTGCAGTGGTTTGGAGAAAGTGATACAGGAACGGGTTGGCTCCCTGCAACCTTCTCACTGCTAACCAGGCCAGGCTCCATTCTATTGCCATATCAGCAGCACTTTAATGACAAAATCAAACCCAATGGACACCCATTTATCTGACAAGCACAGCGTTCAATTTAATAACTCAGGAGAATGAAAACTGGGAGAATAATTTTGGTGCTGGAACATGAGTACCAGGACAAAGGGGGAAACTCAACTCTAGTGTGGAAATGGGGAACGGTGAATTAAATTTGGGTGAATCTTGGAAGGTTTACAGAAGCGTCCTAAAGATCTGGATAAGTTCCTCAAAAGTTTGGATGCTTACCCAAATTTATTTGGTTTGGAAATCTCATGTGAGAGAGATCAGGTCTTTTTAGCATGAGGTTGGTATTTCCCATGTCTAGACAGGTCTGGAAAGATGGCAAGAAAAAGATACAATAGATACAAAGGATGGTCACAGGAATGGATGGACGGATACCATGGAACCAACATCAGCAGTCTTCCCTCTATCCCCAACCTCCCTGGATATTTCAGCACTTCTGTCCCAAATCAGAAAATATGGAGGCACTACAAAATGCTATCCAAACTTTTTTTGACCCAAATGAACGGACTGAGTTTTGGTTTTAGGAAAAGGTGAGGATCTGTAGTCATTTATCTGGAGCTGATTTACCTGCCTTTACTGCTAATTGGAGAATGATTCCCTCCAAACAAAGGAAGGAATGGGGATTACCAATTAGATGATTTCTACTTACTACAGGATGTGGGATGGACTCTTCCGCAATTATCTTAACATAGTCGAATGACAGGGTTTTGGTTTGTCGGGCAAAGAGGCTTTTGATTTCATTGAAAGATTGCACCAAGAATGGGAAATGTTGTGCTCTATTTTATTGCTAGCATCTCGCTTGCTTCCCCCACACCTCATAAGATGGGGGAATTTTCCCCAGTATTTTTTGCCGATAGTAGGGATTGTTTTTTTAATCACATCCCTTGCATGACTTGACTCATTTCTAGCTTTGAATTGTCTTTGAAGACCCAAGCCCAAACCCAGATATCTGGTTGGGACCAAGCTGATTAGAATATTCACTTCACACAGTCTGGAGTGGGAAGGATGCAGGAAATGAACTAAACCCCAAGCCAATCAGTAAGGACCATCCTTAACCCCTTCCATCACCCCCATCTTCAGCAGCCCCCAGCACTCACTAGCAGCTCACCAGCTTAAGTATTTCTACTCCCCTATAGATGCTTACATGCCCTGTAAATTGGTACTTGAGGAATGGAAAGTTTGGCTGCTCAGCCTCAGAGTTTGGTACTATCCTTAAGCTGAGTTGCAGAGCAATCCAATTTCTCTTTCTCCACTTGTCCTATGTACTTTAATAGTTGTAATGCCCCTTTCTGACTTTCTCAATTTCATCTCTATCCATCTGTCTACCCATTCATCTATCTAGTTCTCCTTCCATGGTATCCATCCAGCCACAGTATCTACCAAGATGTTAGCATACCCATGGTATTGTAAGTACCACGGAATCCATCCATGCACACATCTCTCTTCCTGAGCATCCTTTTTCTTAGGTTTTCATCCCTTCATTTGTTCACCCATCCCCAATCCAAAGATGATCTATTAGGGCCTTTACTTTCCCTTCAGGTTGTAGGTTTGGATCACGCTTGTTCCATGTGCCACTAAAGGTCCCATTCCCTTGCAACAATGAAAAGTACAAGGGTCTCTCTCCACGCTAGTAAAAAGATAGGTCCCACTGGGTTTGTTAAAACTAATGTCCAACTTCTTGTTCTCTCAGACAGTTTGTCTGTTTGTCCATCCCTCCCTCCAGAGAAGGCCTCAAGCTCAGAAGGTTCTTGAGGCAGATCTTAGACCGAATGATGGTTGTATTGGCTTTGGAGCTCACTCAAAGATAGGTAGGCCTCAGTGTTTGGGATCTGGCTGGAGAAAGCTGTCCTGTGGAGATCATCAGTTTGACTTTGCCTCAGAGGCATGGGCTGGGAAAACAAAGAGCTAGCATCTGCCATAGTAGTAGTGGAACTGATTTCAGGGCCTGCGTCCCCAGCCTCTTCTGTGGTTTGAATGGCATCGTTGTCATGCAACCCTGGGATATCTGAGAAGACCATGCCAGGCTTCTGTTGGGATTCAGAGAGCTGTAAAACTGTGACGTTTCCATTCACCTTCTCATCCTGCTCAAATACCGATGCTGGGGATGAGCTCTCGGGTGACAGAAGAGCCTCAGGAAGTGCCCCAAGCCCATTGGTTGTGTTCTGTATCTCTCCCACAAAGGAACTGTTCTGGAAACCTTGGTTTGCTTCGATGCAATGAAGAAATCCGGAAGAGAACAGTGGCAGGTCATTCTCCAGCATGCAGAGATCTGGGGAAGGGAGTGCTCCGTAGGAATCACCATCTTCACTGCCACTGCTCTTCCGGGCGAAAGGCTCGTAGGTGAAATACACCTGGCAGGGCTCAATCTCATAGGAGTCAGGGAGATGGAAAAAGAAGTAGCCTTGGTTGGTGAAGCAGCTAGTCAGTGAGTGCCCGCTGGTTTCTGGGGGGGCACCAGAGGTGAGAAAAGCTTTGGGAAGGAGAAGCTGGGACTCCTGTTTCTCCTTCTGAATTATCTCTAGCTCTGAGATCTCTGGGGAGATACTGCTCATGCTGAAGAGAGACGTGGAAAATGGAGAGGAGAGCCATTTCTGAAGCAGAAGGAAGGGAAACACAGAAGAGATATTATTATGTGCAAAGTGGCAGCAGTATAACACTCTCACAACAGAGACACAGAGGCCTAGGGTCTCTTTTCCTTCATGCCCATGATGAATACACTCCGGACATCTCCCATACAGAATATACGCCCTTATCATCACTCCTCTGGGATCTCCATAGGGAATAGGTCCCTGGGGATCCCTCGCCAGGCTCTGAGCCGTTTTAAAAGAAGGAACCAGCCTCAAGAGCTTTCCATGCGTGATCTCCATAAAAAAAGGGAGGAAGAAAAAGAAAGTGATCTAGAAATAGAGAAAGAGAGAGAGTAGCAGAGAAAAAGAGAGGAGTTGAAGGGAGAGAGAGGAAGAACATGACTAACAGCCAGAGGAGGGACTAGAGGAAGTGAAGAAGAAGGCATAGAAGCAGGATGGGATGGTCTCCAAGAGCCTTGAGAGCTCCTATACTCCTGTGTGCTCTCTCAGCCCTTCCTGTCAGCAGAGCAGAGTGCTGAGGTTTGGTGGTTTGTACTTTCTTGGTTCTTTACTTAGAGATGCAGCAGCCAAGTGGCAGCTTAGAAAGGTCAAAAATAAAACTAAAGCAAATCCCCCAGCAGCAACCAGTGCTGGAGGGTCCAGTGATACACGCACACACTAGATCTGGGAGCCGGACATCCTTCCCATCCATCTGCAGCATGAGGGAGGCAGCCAGTCCTCTCCTTCTTTCCCTCCTCGTCCTTCTCTGACCCCCCTCCCATGAACAGCCCGCCTGCCCCTGGTCCCCATACCTGAACGTCGCCTCTGTGCACAGTGCTCAGCGGGGGAAAGAACTTGTCTGGGTCTGGAATGTAAATCTTCAGCACCTTCTTAAGCCTTCACCAGAGAGAGAGAGAGAGAGAGAGAGAGAGAGAAGTGAACGTGATATGTAGACCTACGGTCTTCCAGGGGCCTGACCCTCTGCTCACTGGCACCAGTGTAAATGAATAATATCTCCTCTAAAGTCACTGGAGTTATGCTGGTATAAAAATGGTGTAAGTAAGGGAGAACCAAGCCCCAGGGCTCTTTATCCCCCATCCCGCACCCGTAGCCTGAGAAAATCTCTGCATTTGCCGATGGATGTATTAGGGACACAGAAATTGAGAGAGAAAATGGTATTGCAAAAGCTATTTCCCTCAGCCCTATCCCCAGAGCTGATAATGTCGCCATTCACCAACATCCTTGCCTGCCTCTCCCTGTTGCCCAGGCCTGTCCATTCCTTTCATTAGCTGCCAAGCTGGGAGAGTCGCCATCTTTGGTCCAAGTTCCTGGTATGGTTTCCAAGGCCTGGTTGCCATGAGCTGATTGTGCCTCACTTGGTTGCCATCACAGCGATGCAGAGATTGCAGAAATTGCAGTGCCATCATGAAATGGCAGCATGAGATGGCAACACTACAATCTCCATGTCCTGTCATCAGGATTCAGCATGGCAGTGTTGTATGGCGTTCACACTGCAGCACCACTTCATGACGCCTTACACCATCATGACATAACAAGCTACACTGGTATTGCCAGACCATACCAGAGCCAAGTCATCCTGTCTGCTTTTCCTGTCTCTCAAAGTGGCCAATACCGAATCCTTCAGATACTTAAAGGTCTCCTAATGCACCTTTACTGTGCAATAATCTATGGTGAGGGGAATTCCTCCTGACCCCCTTCAGCCTGTGCTCTGAAGCAGGAGGATTTGATAGTCCTTGTACATTTATACTAGCTTGCATCACTGCAGATGCTATTTTCATTCCTGCATGACTAATCCTTTTCTGCACAGCATTATCCTGCATCATTGAGTTCCACAGGTTAATTATACATTCCGGGAAGAGGATTAGCTGTGTTTATATGTGTTGTAAACAGAGTGCTCCCTTGCCCTTGCATTATGATACAGGGTAAACAGGAGAGGCCAGTTGGCTTTCTCTAGTCCCATAATCATTTTACACACTCCTAAAATCTCTCCTCCTCTGCAAATGAAATAGTCCCCCTCTGTAATCCATCTTTATAGGCAAGCACCTCCCCCCTCTGATATTTGGATTGCTTTTCCCTGTGTCTTTTTTTATTCTGCTGTGTCCCTTTCTGAAATGAGGTGACTAAAACTGAAACCATTTTCAATGTCCATGATGCTGTCAGGCTATTCTCTATATTATTGTACCGGGTGCCCTTGTGCGGCATGTTCAGCATTAATTCAGAACAATATCAGGACAGAAATGATGGACAGGAAGAGGTTTAAATCAGCATCCCACCAAAAAAAGGTAGAACTATCCTGAGTGCAGGGGCCTGTCCCATGACCTATAATCAGAGGGTGAAATCCAAACCTTATGCAGTGGGCCTGCATGCAGTCCAAGCACTAGTCATGTCCCACTGTAGCACTGTTTTGAGAGATTAAGGGGTGCATAGGCCTTGTTCTGGTTCTTCTACACAAAGGTGAATTTCAGCTAGACAGTCAGATTTCTAAAGGTATTTAGGCACCTAACTCCTATTGATTTCAATGTGAATTCCTTTAAAAATATGGCCCAAAGAGAGAGTGTCCTGTGGCTATTTTGAGCTTGGTGATGTTATGACATCTCGCTGTGTCACAGTGTCTCAGCATCATGGTGCAAACACTGAATTCCCTCACTGTCAGGGCGTCTCTTGGGACAATGCCAGTAGCAACCCAGAGAGGCAGAATGACTCAGCTCCAACTCAGACTAAGGAACTCTGGCCTCATCTGAGAGACAGAAAATGAGGACAGAAAGGCACTCTGGGCTTGGGACAGGGTCTGGAGGGGACCATTCATGTCCCTTTTACCTTTTCAATGGCTGTGAGGTGATGATCAAGACAATGATGACAACAACGAAGATGGTGCAGATGGTCCCCACAAGGGCTGGCATCGTAAGCTGAAAGTCCCCCGGGGCTAGTTCTGCAAGAGGGGAGAGAGAGTTACTGGAAAGAGCCAGCCAGAACAGAGGAAATGGGAACCCCAGTCACTCCAGTTGTTTTTTTTTCACTTCTGAACAAAGAGGTTTGAGATCCAGGTCAGATAAGTGGGTGACTGGCCTTTATGATTAGGAACAGATCTGAGCCCCCCCAGCCTTGCCAATGCACCTCACAGCTCACCTGCAGCCTCTCTCTGCTATTCCTGTCCTGGACTGCCACACAACTGCAATGACCATGCACTTCATCCTTGACTTGCCACCCCCCTGCTATTCCCTCTTCAGCATAGCTCTACAAATGCACCTCAGCTCCGTCCTGCCCCACTCCTGTTACTCTTCATCTTCTGTCCCCTCTGCCAGGGCGCCTCATTTTGGACCTGCCGAGCCCCCTGGAATAGGGGAAAGGGTGCAGAGGAGAGAAGAGGGAAGGGAGCAGTGGGACACCTTTGGAGAAGCTTCTCCCTCATGTCCTTGAGATGTTAATAAGATCCCTTTGTTTCCTCCACCTCGGGGAACTTTGGCTCCCAGTTGCCACGACAGCTGGTTGTAGTTGAATCCTTTTCACTGACATCATATGCTATCAAAGTTTGATAGCCACAGCAACACACTGCCCCTTCTAAACATAGCTGCTCCGTTTATATCATTACCTGCCTCAGCATGGGGGGACCCACGAGCTGCCTACTTCCTGTGAAGAAACTAAAACTAAAAGGAGCCAAGGACTCACCAGACACTCCTGCTGGAGATGGGATTTGCCAAGGCTGCAGGCTGCACAGGCTTCTGACTGGCCTGGACAGCTAGCCCTGCTCTGCACTGCCCACAGAGGAGTCCTGGGGTAACATTTTGCAGAAGCTGTTTAGACAGCTAACTCCCATTGATTTCAACAGGTGTTAGGCACCTCAGGACATTTAAACATCGGGCCCCACGGCACTTCAGAGCCTAGGTCCCACTGATTTTCAGTGAGCCTTAAGCACTGAAGGGCCCAAGTCACTTTTGAAAATGGGACTTAGGCTCCTAAGTTACAGGGGCTCTCTGGAAAGTGTTCCCCAGGCCTCTTGCTCCCCTGGTCAGGGAGTTGCTCTGCTGCACTTAGTGAGGGGAGGCCCCCACTGGAGTCTGTGACTGGAATCATGGCCCACTCCCATTGACTTTAATGGGGCCAGGCTTTCACTCTGGGGCTCTTGTGCTTTGGACCAGCAGGCCCTGCTCACCTGACCTGGGTCTAGGATTACAGGAAAGGCTCCTCTCAAGCTATTCCCCGTCTTTCTATTGTACTTTGATTTGTGCATCCCTCCACTCCCCTACTTTTCCTGCTCCCACATAACTCCAGCCCTTGTTGTCCCCTGTGCCTCTCTCCCAGGGCCAGATTTAGAGGAAGGCGACCCAGGGGCGCCGGGCTTGGGGTGCTGTTTTTGTTGTTAGCGACAAAAGGGAAAATAGAATGTTTGAAGTAAAATGTTTCAGGTATTCCATATGTGGATTCATTTTTGACTGACCCCGTACAATGTTCTGGACCTTTGTAGAATCTCATGGAACATTCCAGACTTTCTGAGAACTACATTTTCCTTGAACATCCTAGAATGTTGTCAGCCGTGCCCTCGTGGGTATATACGGGATGGGGCATCGCCAGTCAGTCAGTGAGATATAAGAACGAAGGGAAGTGATGTGAGATCCCAGCTGCGATACTGTGAACCTTGTTTTATTGTGTAATTGTGAAAGTCTGCTTTTGTTTTAAGACTTGAAGAGAGTAAGTAGCGACTAATAAAGGACATATTTAATGAAACATCAGAGATATCTATCAAACCCCTACCTGTAGGGGTTATAATATAAAAGAATATATTGTTACTTCTTTTGAACTAAAGGACTAGCGTTAATAGTCTAAGGCTGTCACCACTGTAACACTAGTTAATACTGCCCCATCCAATGTTGGTGCACTGTTCAATTTCTTGACGTTAGTACACTTCAAGAAAAGGAGTACTTGTGGCACCTTAGAGACTAACCAATGTATTTGAGCATGAGCTTTCGTGAGCTTGAAGTGAGCTGTAGCTCACGAAAGCTCATGTTCAAATACATTGGTTAGTCTCTAAGGTGCCACAAGTACTCCTTTTCTTTTTGCGAATACAGACTAACACGGCTGTTCCTCTGAAACTAGTACACTTCAGTTATTCTTAAAATTAAAAGGTTTCTATAAGCTCAGAGGAAACAAATTTTTTTATTTGCTTATATATAGCATGAATAAATACTGATTTATAGATCCTAGCTTGCAAATTTATCATTTTATATGCCAGCGACAAATCATGCAGGCAAACCATGCATCAAAGTTATGATATGCCCTACACATTCAATAAAAAATAAGGTACTCAAAAGTTTAACAAAGGGGGGAGGGTGCACCAAAGACGCCCCTCACCTGGGGCACCATTTGGACTAGGGTTGTCCCTGCTGTCTCATCACCTATCTCCAAGCCCTGGCCTACCCACTCCTCTGAGTCTCATTACCTGAATATCCGCTACGATTAGTCCTCCATGCAAGCATCTTGCTCCAGTTGCTCCACACGCCATATGTGTTTGGCTTCACGCGAACTGAAGCCTCATACTCTGAGTCTGGCGAAAGGTTCTCAAGCCTCACCCATTCCTGGTCCTGCTTGATAGAGAGGAGCATGGCAGGCTGGAATGGAGTAAAAGTTACAGAGTGATTGCTATGTTCTCCCATCCACAGTCTACACCATCACACCTCTCCGCTGTCCAATCAGAACAGAATTGGCTTGGGGCCTCTCCCAGCCAGCATATCCTATATCCAAAGCTGTACCAGGAGGGCACCCCTTGCCCACATCAAAGCCCCTCTGCACCACAGTGGGAGGAGACCCGTTCTACCTTTTCCATCGCCGCAGTCTTGTCTGTCCCATACTGGGAGGACACCATTCTGATGCCTCTCATCCCAGCACTGGGCAGACTGGAACTTCCCTTTGCTTCCCTGCCGTCACCATACGCTGGCAGATAAAGCTGAAGTAGGAGTCACTGCCCCCTTTGGCCTCTCCTCTGAGGCAAGGGCATTGCAGCCATCTGGGGAAGAGTCTAGAGCACAAGCGGGAATAGCAGGTTCTTTGCAGTAAGGCGGCTCTGTCCTCCTCCACTAGTTACAGGCCTGAGGCCCATCAGCAGGAGAAGCTAGTCTGGGATCCTGCACTCACCTCCCAGGGCTTTGTGCGATCTCTGCACAACACTTCAAATTCCCGTTTCTTTTTTAAGTAGTGAGACGAAATAGGAATTCTCCAAGTTAAATTGTAGCTGGAGTCACTGGTGTTTACCACTTGGAGGTTGTCAGGTGGCCTCAGCTGTACTGGGGAGAGAAGAGTGAGAGAGGCATTGGGACACACACCATGGGAAACAAAAGCAAACGCTACAATAGCGTTTTGCGCTCTCTCTCTCTCTCTGTTATGTGGCTTCATTGGCAGACACCCCTCTCCGGGGATGATCTCTGGGCCATTCCACTGGATGTGCACATCTGTGAACCCACCCCAATCATTTGTCCCAAACAATTCATTTTGTGAAGATTGTCTCTTTTCCTGTTCCCCAGGGCGCTCTGCTTCTGCCCCCATTGAAATAGATGGCAAAAGTCCCGATGACTTTAGTGGAACAGGATCAGAGTCAAGCAATCTGTAGTCTTGCTAGGATTTTTTCCCCCACTAACTACAGAGGGCCAGTTGCTCAGCTGGGGTAAATGGGCACTGCCCCATTGCAGTCAGTAGTGCTGCATAGATTGACACCAGCAAAGGATCTAGCTCAACTTTTGCCACCAAAGGACACAGCTTTAACAGATGAAGCTCTTATCCCCAGATCAATGCACCCAGGCTGGGGGCAGAGGGTGGTTGGTACCAAGCAGTATGTCAGAGCCTGTGCCCAGGGGAGCGGCAGTGCAATGCTGGAAGCAACAGGAGGAGGCATGGCGAATCTGTGGCAGGTAGTGTGACTAGACAGCAAATGTGAAAAATCGGGACAAGGGGTGGGGGGTAATAGGAGCCTATATAAGAAAAAGACCCCAAAACTGGGACTGTCCCTATAAAATTGGGACATCTGGTCACCTAGTGGCATGGCGTGACCGAGTGAGCATACAGTGGCAGTGGGGCAGGGAGACGAGGCAAGCCTGAGATCAGGCATGGGGTAAACAGAAGGATGCCTGGGGCGGACAAGGTGGCACAGGGGACAGATCTAACCACAGATGGAAGCCTTGGAGGATCAAACACTGATTAACACTCACTGTTGTCCCATGGTTTGAATTCCTGCTGTTGCATCACAGTTGTCCAGTTTTCCCCAACTTGGCAGGACACAGTCAGGTTAAGTGAGTCTGCAATGGTGAAGACCTGCCACTGCAGGAAAATTTGCTATTCGCATTACTAGTCCCCCACTATGTATTGTTCACATTTCTAAGGCCTCTATCGTCACAGAGATGTTAATGCATGACCATCATGCCTCCCATCCTAAGGCTCTCAAAGTGCTTTTCACATCTTAATAAGCAGGGCAGTGTTAGATTAGCCCCACTGGGGAAACTGAGGGACAGAGATTAGATGAGTTAAATATTCAAGAAGTGTTATCTCTTTTTCCACAAGGGGTGGAGTGTAAAGCAGATTGAAGCTGGGTAGGGGTGGCAGGGGCTTCTCCTTAAGTACCATCGGTCCTGCAGGATGCGATAATCAGGTTGTGTCACAGCTTCTCTGCCTTTATGCCACAACAACGCAGCCTCAGAGAGCATCACCCTGTGAGTACACACGGTCAGCACCTGGGGAGGCCATAACTCTGTGGGCACCATAACAGATCTGTGACCTCAGGCTGCAAGGCTCTGGACTGACCCATGGAAACAGGCACTGGGGCCTGCGTAGTTCTTGATGGGCTGTGACTGGCGACGCAAGGAAGGGAGCTAAATACAACTATAATAACAGTGTGACACCTCCTGGGGTTTGTAGCAGATTGGCTGGGACGGTGACTGGATACTGACCTCTTGGAACCCTGCCCCAAGTCAGGAAATAAAGTTTTCTCTCATAGCACTACTTCTGTGTGTCACACTGTTATTACAGTGATAACCCATATACCAATCACCCCCAGCCCCTTTTATTAGCCAGTACATTTCAGTTGGCTTACCTCAACAATGTCTTCACTGAAGGCTAGTTCACATCTCCTGGGTGCCATGCTAGGAAATTCACAACTCTTTAGATCCCTGTCAGAGAGAAGACCAGAATACTGCTGAGCTGGAGGGGCTTGTATGCATGTAATTATTTATTTAGATTGGAAATCATCACAGGCACCCATCCAAGGCATTAGGCACCCTTGCTACTCCAATACAACGGAATCCCAGCAGCATTAAACTAATGGTAACAGGAACTCAGCCAGCCACCTATAGAGACCCTTCACTGATGTGAGGAGCACACCCTCAGCCTCCCTCCAAAACCCATCTCAAACAGATGTCTTTGACAGCGTGCCCAGAAAGTCATCAGATTCAAAGTATTATGGACCAGGCAGGGGGGAAGTTGCAGAGTCCTGGTGCTCTCACAGGCAAAACCCTGCCTGCCACCCACTCTGTTTTATGCCCAGCACCGCTGTGGCAGCTGCTGCAAGAGGAACTGTCTCCTGCATCCCTCCCCAGTGCTGCTGGGAGCACTGAGAAGGTGAACCACATTTTCCCTCCTACACACCCTGCAAGGCACTACTGCAAGAGGAGGGGAGGAGATGGAGTCAAACTGCTGCTGTACTCAGTGGGAGTCCTCTAGCCACTGCCACCTGCCTCTCTCCCCACCGGTGCTGACCTGCCCAGTTCCTCACCCAGCTCAGAGTTCAAAGACCTAGTACTGGGCGGGCGCCTGGAGCCCTTTTGCTCTGACTCACTGTCCCTGTCACATGCAAGGGAAACTTGCTCTGCTTTCCACCCCACACATCAGCCCTGGCGAGCCCACTACCACAGTGGACACACCCATGCAGTCTCAGGAAAGCCAACAGCCGTCTGTGGAGACCCACCAACCACAAGAACCAAAGCAGTCCTGTTCCTCAAATGAGCACCCACCTAACCACCAAAGGGGGTCTGGCTCCTCACCTGACCAACAACCCCATAGCTATAGACCACCGAGCCAAGATGATAATTAGAGCCTGACATTCACTGGCTTTGCTAAATAATTTCAGCCACGTACCTCTTATCAGTGTGAAACAAAGCGTCAAGTTGGCACAGTGCTTCTGTGTCATTCCTGTCTGGAGCCCAGGTGCAAAAGAGAGTCGCCCGCGAGTCATAAAAACAAGTTAGATTTGAGGGTGCTATGAATGGAGAAAAGATGGCATTACATCAATCCTGTCATGACAAAGGCATTAAGCATTAATGATCATTTCATCCAGTTCCATGCAGTGCCCAATTCATAGGCTGGCTAGTGCCCTGAAGAAACATCCAAGAAACACCTCCAAACAAGAATGGAAGAAACCTATGGCCCTTCTCACTTCTTCAATGCCCCAAAATGAAGAACCCCCAATAGGAACATGTATATTGCGTCGCTTTTGCTTAGTGCTTCCTGCCCTGTTGCAAGACATGGACAAACCTTCAAATTTCAGTGATCTTCCCATATCACATAAGGATAAATAGTGTCCCCACCCACACACATCCCTAATTCTCCTGCTGGGACATAGGAGGACATTTTCTTACCCTGAGTGATTTTTGATGCCAGTGAAACATCTAGAAGGATGGACAGCCAGAGGCAAAGCAGAAGGGGAGGAGAAGGCTTCATCTCTGCCGTACACAGGAAGGGCTCGCACTGGAAGAGAGAAGAAGACACACACCCCAGCACAGGTGAGGATGACAAAGTTCCACACTTCTCTGTGGAGGTGGTCCCTGCAGTAATCTTCTCCCTTGGTGCTATTACCAGGAGTCTGAGGCACTTCCAAGATCTGCCCCCAACTGAAGCTCTGCATACACCCCAAGCTGCCCATGCCTGATGCCCAGATTAAATCCCACTCAACAGATTGCACCTATCTCCATAATCTGACCTGTCTCCTTCCTTGTGTGCTTTGCTCCGCAGTGAAACACTTTGCAATGCTAGCATTTAAACTGATAACGAAGTCAATGCCTTCTTGAAATGAATATGAGAGCACACCACTCAGAGCTGTTGTTTCAGGGAGGCTGCTGACTCAGGCAGACAGTACTGCCGGAGTCGCACCCAGTTTACATTATGAAGGGGTTTCTTTTCAACCCTAAGAACTAGCGACTTCAGGGAGTGGTTGTAGTTAATTAGCTGTGGGGTCAGGGGCCTTCTGGGTGGTCAGGAGTGTTAGTGGAGGGGCTAGGGATTAGTGGACGGAGTCTGAAGAACCTGACTGGGACAGGGAAAATTAGGATCATAGAAAGGATTTCATGTTCGGTAAATCTAGGTTTCAACATACTGACACACCCCAGGTCTCCATGTTTGGACAGTCCTGAGCTACACCCCACACATAGCTCCAAGGATGGGCCCCACCCAGCGCAGCCTCGGAAGGAGCATTCGCTCTCCATATCCGTACCGTCCCAGGCTTCACCCACACTCATGCAGCTCCTCCAATGGCACCCCATTTTGCCCAGGGTGGTGGCAGGGGGAATAGCCCTCTATGTGCTCGAAAGGGGAGCCCTGGGTTGGTTGTACATAACGAGGCGGTGTCTTGAGCAAACCCCGGACCCTTGTGGGAGGGGGCAGGACCTGTGATGGCTTGCCAGAGGGCTGCCATAGGGCACGGTCAGATTCCAGTTCTGATAAAAGATTTCAGTTCAGAGAAAGAGAGCAAACAAACAACAACCATCCTGTTCTTGGGAAATGTGGGGCATGATGAGAGGAGGGATGTGGAAACAGAGAGAGAGAGAGACAGAGATAAATAAACGATCAGACCTGGCCAATAGCTAGAAAAATGTGTCAGACTGAAACTCCTTCCAAGAAGCTTCTCAGTTCAGCCACCCCCGTGTGGGAGCCGCTTGACATCGCCCCATTACCTTCCTATGCGATGGCCTCCTTAGCTGTGCAGTCGTGCCAGAGATGGCCCTCGGGGACTGGACCAGTCCGTCCAGTGGAGCTCAGGTGCCAGCCTTCAAATGGCAAGAGGTGGGGTGGGGCAAGAGTGGCTTCCAGTTCAGCACATGGCACTGCTAGTGGGAATGGACAGGGGCCGGAGCCGGGCAGTTCTGCAAGCACAAAGGGCTTGCTAGCTATCTGTCGTTTCTTCACCTTGAGCACAGGAAGCTGCATCTAGCTTGCCCCGTCAAAGCGAGACTAAGCTCCGGAGTCCCGAAATGGCTAGCGAGGCCGAGAATAAAAAGCCCCAAACCACGTCCACTTCCTGACGGTAAAGGTGATGAGAGGGGGTGGGAAGGAATCAGGTATGAGGCTGCAGCACTAGGCTGAATTGGAGACTGGTCTGTGCGCAGTGCTACGCAAAGATATATCTCTGGGTGCGTGCCCCCTGCACACAAACACGCCCACAGTGACACGTGGACATGCTGATATTGGTTTAAGACTAGTTACACTGGGTTTGCTTGCCCCTACACATACCCAATACCAAACCCGATATAAGCCAGGTGTAAACTGATTTAAAAGCAACCCCACATGCACACGTTACACCAACTTCACTAAATCAGTTTGAAATCATGCCTGTAGTTCAGCCTGTGCAACTTTGTGTGTCTAGAGGGCCTCAGAAACAACCCCCCCACTCACACACACAGTTGCACCACACGCAAATACACCCTTCCCGCACACACAACTCCTCTGCCCACACGCCACTCACACAAACAAACAGACCCCTTGCCCCACAGAAATAATGATGGTTGGCTCTGTGCGTCTACACTGGCTGCTACCTGAGGGGCTCAGTTAATTAATCCACACAACACAACCATGAGGCAAGGATAAGGCCCATTTTACAGATGGCCCGGAGAGGTTATGAAGCAACTTGCTCACTCAACAGGTAAGCAGTAGTGCCAGGAATAGAACCCCAGGAGTCCTGGCTCCTTCTCCTCTGTAGTGACCAGGGCAGAAGGCTCCTTTCACGCTACAGCCCCCACAGAGATGGCTCCTTAAGATGCACTCCTGCACATTTTCACAACACCCAGATATTGCCTCCACCCCACAATACACACCCAGATAGACACAAACGCAACCCGATTCTCAAACTCCCCACACTTCACAACAAACACCGGCACACACACATCCCCCGACGCCCACTCCTCCCCCCCGTCCCTCATACACACAAATAGCATTCTCTGAAGTACAGCCGATCACATTTCCTGTCTGGTTAGGGCTGCACAAACATGGCCCATGGTGTTGGAGCCTAGCTGTGGCACGTCTGCAGTGATCACTGAGCTGAACACTCCCTGCGTCCAGGCCTCAGCACCTCTGAGGTGTGAGCACAGGTCCAGCAGAAGGTTTTGCTGAGCGTCTGGGAGATGAACCCTAAGTCACAGAGAGCTCCAGGATGGGCAATTTCAGAGAGCAGAATGCAGGGATGTTGTGGGACTGGCCCTCTGCGACGGCCAACCTGGACAAGTGGGTTCAGGGAGTGCTGGGGAGAGGGTTAGCTCTTTGTCACGGACAGGCCAGCACAGAAAGTGGGCGTGAGAGAGGTTAGCTCTCAAATACAGAGAATCCAGGAGTAAGACAGTGGTTTGAGGGAATGGGAACAGTTATTTTTACAGAGATTGCAGTTGAGGGCTGTGTGGGGTGTAACTCCTCACATGAATCCTGAGAGGGTAAATTAAGCCCAGCAGGAACAGGAGGGGCTTGTATAAAGCCAGCTGCTGGAAAAGGCTGCAGTCACTCCCCAGGAGAAGGGAGGAGTGTTTGGAGGCTGCAGAGCCATGTAGCCTGCAGTAGCTCCCTGGGAGCAGGGAGTGGTGAAGCTGGCTGACCCAGCGAAGGAAGGTTAGGACAGGGATCAGGGAAAGGCAGTAAGGTCTAAGAGGGAACAGATCTTAGCTGCTGGCTAGAGAGTCCCTAAGCCGGAACCCGGAGTAGAGGATGGGCCCAGTTTCCCCGACCAGACACTGAGGGAGTGGCACATTGGGGCAGTAAAAGGGAAGACTGCCTGAGACTGCTCGGGAGAAGGGACTTTGTTACCCCGGAAGTGGAAAACATGTAAAATGACCTGGCCGGAGGGCTAAGTTATGAAGAAGAAGCAGCAGCTCGTGCAGTGAGAGAGGGGCCGCAAACCCAAAGAGAAAGGCGGAGGATGGGAAGGGGCATCAACCTTGTGAGCTATTCCCCAGAGTGACCAGGAGGAGGCGCCATCCTAGCAGAGCGTGGAGCACCCTGTCACAGGGGCTCGAGGGCACCATTTCACACAAAGCATTACAGTCCAGACACCAAGGAGGCATCAAGCTCCTGGTCAAAATGCTGCAGTAGAGAACACAACACATCAGCCTCCAATAGAGACAATCTGCTGTGAATGCCATGGGTCGCAGCGCCCTGCTCCATATAATCTGGCAGTGCAAAGGGGCCGTAACAGGACATAAACTTGGTATTCCTGAGCCAGGGAAATCTCTGCATGGCATAGGCAGACAAAGAATCTGGCCAGCTACACCCTAGTGGAGAGGGTGTAGCCAAGGAGTGGGTGTGCGGGCTAAGTGCTACCACGTTCCAGCAAGCCCTAGCTCAAGGGTGGCCAACCTGTGGCTCTGGAGCCCTGTGCGGCTCTTCTGCAGTTAATATGCAGCTCCTTGTAGAGGCACCGACTCCGGGGCTGGAGCTACAAGTGCCAACTTTCCAATGTGCTGGGGGGTGCTCCCTGCTCAACCCCTGGCTCTGCCACAGGCCCTGCCCCCACTCCCCCCTTCCCTCCCCATCCCCTGAGCCTGGCGTGCCCTCGCTCCTCTCCCTAACCCCCAGAGCCTCCTGCATGCCATGAAACAGCTGATTGGGAGGTGCGAGGAGGAAGGGGGAGTGCTGATCAGCGGGGCTGCCGATGGACGGGAGGCGCTGGGAGCTGGGGTAGGGGGGAACTGATGCGGGGCTGCTGACGTATTACGGTGGCTCTTTGGCAATGTCCATTGGTAAATTCTGGCTTCTTCTCAGGCTCAGGTTGGCCACCCCGATGCAGCTAGCGTAATGGCCACTTGGGGACTGTAACCAGCCAGAGTAAATTAGACTAGCCTACTCTAGGGGCTGAATTGCCCTGGAAATTGAGAAAGGACAAAGCTAGGGTGGAGAGCCCTTAATCATAATCAAATACTTTCAATATTTATGGTGCAGATGCCGAAACTCTTTCCCCACTTGGAGGGCTTTTGTTTGCACCGGTCGTAGTGAAATGGCCAGCATACCTGTGCTGCCCTGGTGAGGGTTGCCAACCCTCCACGGTTGTCTGGGAGTCTCCAGGAATTACAGATTAATCTTTCATTTAAAATCACATCATGTGATGAAACTTCCAGGAATAGATCCAACCAAAATTGGCAACCCTAGCCCTGGAGTAAAGCAGTGTTCCCTCGGCACAACTTATCCTGCCTACATTAGCGATTTTGTAACAGTGTCATTTACATCGGTGCAAAAATCCATAATGCGGACAAGCCCCATGCAGCAGCCTACTCTGTGATTAGTTCCCTGGGTTTCAAGGGGACTGCCTGCAGACAAAGGTACTACTCGGTGGGAATAAAGGTAATGGAGCCAGGTCCTATGTATTTGGACAGCACTGCAGCCAGGGCTGTCCCTAGCTTTTCTGGGGCCCTACGCAGCCCCCCTCCCCCCCACCGCAGGCCTCTCCGGGGGGGGGGGGAGCTGGCTTGGGGGGCAGGGGGTAACCACCCCCCAGCACTCACCGACAGCGTGGCTGGGGCCGGGTCCCTGCACTTCCTGCCGCCAGTGAGTGCATGCCTGGCCCTGCTGCACTCCTCAGGGGCAGGAAGAGGCAGGGCTGGGGCGGGGGTGGGAAGAGGTGGGGCGGGGGGGGGCTTTGGGGAAGGGGTAGAGTGGGAGCGAGATGGGGGCAGAACAGGGGAGGGGCAGGGCTGGGGGGCCTGGGGAAGAGGCGGGGCAGGGGCTAGAGCAGCACGCTGCTGCGCCAGGCACCTGGAAATCTGGTGCCTCAAGTTTCCTGGTGCCCTATGCAGCTGCGTACTTTGCGTATGGGTAGGGACGGCCCTGATCGCCGCTTTTTCAGTAGCAAAACTTCTTGCTAAACTTGCAATGCAGCATTTATTATACTCATCCTCTCCCCCAGTTCCCTTTCGGGCTGGGCCTGCTCTCAGCCCAAATATCAATCGCTTTGGAAAGTTGGAGCTCACAGCAATTTAAGCGAGTTGGCCAAAAAAACCCTTTTTCCTCTTTCCAAAAAATGCATACAATGTTAGCTGAGCACAGATGAGGCCAAGCAGAAGGGTAAGACATCCAACTTCACGGGCAGTTAGTCCTCCATGAGGAGCACCAGCTAGGATGGCTGAAAAAAATACATAGAAAGTCACTCTTGTGCATGCATAGTACAAGAATTGAATCAGCTCCACCGTGGGCATAGTTCCATTGCCTTCAATTAGCTGCATTTGATTCACACCAGCTGAGGATCAGGCCCATTACCTTTGGTTGTTAGTTACATCATTTCCTATGAAATTGCGCTAATGAAGCTACGGGATGTTTTTTTGTGAAGCTGAGCAACACTCCCATCCTCATAGAGCCCGAGTGAAGATGTTCTCCTTTTGGTTTCTTTTCTGTCTTTAAAACAGATTATCAGACACGGGAATTCAATACAAAAACCTTTGTTAATGCAACATCAAGGCTTCATATTTGAACATAGACGTGCAAAAAGTTGAGGTTCAGATTGGATGTATCAATGGGGCCTTTCCCTACTTAAGGGTGAAGCACAGTTGTTCGTTAAAAGCCTGATTTTGATTCCCCCTTCTCCTACCTGACTGAAACAAACCAACCCCCCTGAAATTTCACATGCACAATCACATGTCAGTGTAGAATTTCTTTGGAATGAGAAGTCATTTGCATGGTATGAGAGTGCAGAAAATTGCGTGCAAATCATTTGCGTGGAATTATTCTGTTCTGGGTGGTTGTCGGCTCATCATAGCATAAAAAATGGTTTGGCCTAGAAACTCTGCGTTTGTTTTCTTCTGTTGCCCTTGTGGAGGACCGAAGCCCTGGGCTACTTTTGGAGACGTTGAGTATGGTTTATTAACAATATCATCTACAGGGAGGTTCGTATGGCGGGCATGCCATTGGTGCATGACCATCACCATGTATCTTGGAGGAGAAGCTGGAAGTGTGAAGGACTCCTGAGCCTTCCTCCCACCCAAAAGCATTAGTGAGGTTTCTCGACACCCCTAGGGTTAGTTTTGGTACCTTCCAAAGAATGGGGTTTTTTTAAGTGTAACCTTTACTTTGAATTTCCTGT